TGATGAAGGGGTACTCGTGGCCTGGGAGGGATCCCCCCTCCTTTTGCATTGTTGGCAGGTGTCGAGCAGAGGCGCACATGTCTCCACAGGCGCGCCCCACGAAGCATCTTGATCATTTTGCAATAAAAAAATGCGGCCGCTCTCAGATGTCCACCCTCAGATGTCCACCCGCCGCTGTGGATTGCACCATGGGCTGACACAAATCATTGGCTCTAGAATCGGTCGACCGCAATGTCTGTCTTGTGAAATGGTAAAACACTCAGAGAAAGGTGGAATACCAACACACCAGTCCGTTTGGGCGTTTCGGGCGAGGCACTCCTGGACGAGTTCCGGGAATTCGACTTGGTCAGGCATCGTGGTGCTGTGGGACATCTCCAGTTGTGTGGCTGGTTCGGTCGACAGTTGTTTCAGCATGCGGCCGTAAAGCGTTTGAATGGGACCTTAAGTTAAGACCGACCTAGTATGAGATGCGCTAGTGCATTGCATGTGCTTTGTATTCCACTATCGGCTTACACGGCACTTGACTCAACTCTCAGCTTTGCAGTCTAAAAGCGCTTTGCCAGCTTTTAGTGCATGCGTGCATGTATATAAGTGGGAAGTATGTGCGCTGAGGGAGGGTTAGTTTGTCTTGCGCGGTGTGTTGTACTGCTGCAAGCGTGTGGCTCTACCTGCAGGGCTTGTTGATGCGGGAGGGTCTTTGCCTCTTGGAAGTTAAGACCTGTGTGAGCATTTTGCCCGCCCAACCTCTTCTTGACAGGGCTGCTTGGATCGAAGGTCAAGAGTCTCACTCGCTGTTGGGATTGCATGAGACTCGTGACTCCACCATCTCAGGGTAAAAGAGGGAGAGCTCGGCGCGCTGCTTGAGCACTTGCGTTCTCCTTGCTGCTAGGCTAGGAGGAGGTCTCCTTTGGTTTTGTTCTGCTGCGTGGCTAAATACTTCCCGGGAGCAACAACGCGGCTAGCAAGTCGATGTGGCTTCACCCTGCGCTTCACCCCCGAAACTCACCTGGAGAAGTGTTTTTTTTTCATGTTCCTTGCATTTTGCTTTCGTCCAAGAGCCCTGATGGAGAGGCTGCACTTCCCCAACTCCGGGAGCCAGGTTCGGCCCGATGTGGGGTCTCCGATCTTTGGGCCTCTGAGTCCCCTTGCGCGACTTTTCTGGTGATCGGGAAGCGGAGGGTTGGGCCAGGGTTGGGGCAAGGTTTGTTGTACTCGTTGTGTGGGGTCAGTGTCTGACAGCGCTGCTTTGGCTCCTCAGCTAATTATAACCCTAAACCCAAAATCTGAACCCTGACCCCTGAATGGCTTCGAATGAAGGCCGCGAAGCCGAGACGATGACTATCACAAAACTAGAAAAAATGTCCTAAACCTTTCGGATGAGTCTCCAGCTCATGCCACTGGCTGCCCCTTTCGTGGCCTTTGCTCGCTTCTGCAGGGTTTGAAGTCTTAAGTTTCAAGAGGTCCTAAGTCCAAGTATGAAGGTTCATCAAATCGAGGTCTAGGGCAGTGTGGGGTCTTTGCAGGGTTGCGAAGGATGGCAAGGTTAGTCGAGAGAGTCGTTGCTCATTAGCAATCAAGCAATCAGCTGCAACATGGGATGTGTGTGTGTTCGCCACGGATCATGGATGATGGTTTAGGGTCATGCTTTGTCATGGTGTGTCGTGCGGCTGGAGCTGTTCAGGCTCGCAGCACATTGCCTGTCTCGCCTTAGGCGTGCGTGGGCATCGAAGAACCGGGGGATCTGACAAGGTGTAAACAGTGTAAACACTTCTGAAGTATAGTATAAACGTCTCAAGGTTTGTTCAGGGCCAGCCCTGGTGAGACATGAGGAGGAGCACTTCAGCTGACTTGAATCTAGCCCCAACCCCACCCTATACATCCCAGTCTGTGGCTCCGCTGCCGCATGCCTAACGTCGTGATGCTTGGCGAGGTGCTGCAGTGCTTTCACGATGGCCTGACTGCCGCATCCCCTTGAAAACCATGGGCTTGTCACACAGGAAGTCGCCTGCTCACATGTTCGTTAGGAAGCGTCGCTCGTTTCGGTACACTGTTTCTCAGTAGAGCTTACGAAGCAACGTAATCTGGATGCCTGGACTAGTAGCTGATGCGTACTGAGTACTGTATATGATTATGGTGCCTTCGTGCTTGGAAGCAATGAGGGGCGAAGGGTCTGAGAAGTGGGGTTGGTAGCTGCTATAACCAAACTATCGCTTTGCATGTATAATCCGGTCTGGGTACAGGCGAAGTTCAGAGCAGCTGCAAACTAGATGGCTCCCGTAATATTCTGTGATGAAGCCCCCGCACCAGGGCCCTCAACACGTCTCTGCAAACGAGCTCGTGATGCCCATAGAGAGAAGTATGGAGAGAGCCGCTTGGCATGCGCGGTGGGGAAGAGGGTCACAGGAGGGGATTGGGCGACTGAGAGTCAGAGTCGCAAGCCATTGCCTGCAAAAACTTTGAGGTGCTGAATAGTAAAGGCCCCCTGATCTCTGGTACCATGCCAGAATGGCGTGAGCCTTTAGAGTTCCGAACCTGTCATCCCGAAGCCTAGCAGGCCCACAGGAATCCTGCAGCAACGCACGCTGACGCATGGGAAAAGGCTCAAGCAGCGCCCATCGGGCTCTTTTCATATGTGACACGAGTGCGGAGTTCAGGAACCTCCATATCTCCAGAACGCGAAGCCGGCGAACCCAGGCCTCTTCGAGTCTTTCTTGTAGCAGGCAACTCTAGCACCTAGTAATGCGATTGAGAATGGCACATTCAGATTCAAGGACAAGGACGCTTTTGCCGATTTTGTGGAACCCCATGAGCCCGCTTCAACAGCGGGCTAGGGATACTCCCTTCCCCCTAACATTAACCCCCCCCTACCCCCTAATATTGAATACCCCCCCATTTAAAGTTATATTATAGTATATTGGGGGTTGTTAATATTATAGTTCTAGTTTAGTTTTCTTATAGTTATATTATAGTATACTGGGGGTTTTATTATTTGGGGGGTAGGGGGCTGAGCGCCTGTGAGAGAGAGAGGGGGGTAGGGGGGGTTTGGTATTAGGGGGAGGGGATTACTCTGCCTCTGAGTGTCTGTTGGTTCCTGGTACAGCTGCGCAGGTTGTTGTCAAGGTCTCCAGGGCCGACGTAGGAATCAGAAGAACCCCTGGGGCCCTGCTTTAGGGTTTAGGGTTTAGGGTGTTTAGGGTTTAGGGTGTTTCGTGTTTAGGGTTTAGGGTTTAGGGTCTAGGGGGAAAATGGGGGCAAATGGGCGAGAAGTCAAGTTGTGAGCCCAAACGCTCGGCAGGTCAGCTCTGGAGGCCTGAATCTGAGATGCTGAGCAGCTCAGAGCTCCTGGACTCGATATTGCCGTCAGACCAGGTGTTCAGGGAATTGGGTAGTTGGGAAACCCACCCTAAACCCTGAACCCCAAACCCTAAACCCTAAACCCTAAACCGCGGTCTCCACGGAGCAATTTCGGGCGCTGCAAACCTCAGCGAAAGATGGCCGGAGTCATGCTCAGGAATGCCATCGTTGCATTGCTGGAGCCACTTGTCTATACTAGCACTCCATGGCATCGCCCTACCAAGCCCAGCGGCTGGAGCTTGAAGTTTGAAAGCATCCAATGCCCTGCAGTCCTGCCAGATTCCGCCCTGTCAAAGGTCGCACCACCGCGAGCTTCTCAGTAAGTTTGCAGATCAGGAGGCGAGGAGTTTCATGCGCCGATAAACAGGAGTATGCTTGGCACTTTCGCGTCTGCAAGAATGCATGCGATTCTATTGCTGTGTGTTTGTAGTATGTTGTCGCATTTAATTTAATCTAAACTAAATCTGATTCTTTGATACCTTGGGTCCTTCGTCTCGTGCACAGCAGCCCCCAAGCCTGAAAGCCCACACACAAACACACACACACGCACGCATGTCAAGGTAGGAGACGGTAATTCAGTCTCGGTGGCAGGAGTTGATGGTAAACCTTCTCGACTATCCGCGTCTACCGCCGCGAGACGCCAAACGTCACGACACAGCAGGAGGCGCCTCACGTTGTCTCTGTAGATGCTGGAGACGTAAAGTGGGAAGTCTTCACGCAAAGGCACGTTATGTAAATGTACATGGTTCCAAGTTCCAATGGTTCCATCGCCAGGCATGAGCGACGCGTCATCGTCCATCGCTACGTCCGGAGAGGGCAAGACGTTTTCATTGACTCCGGGAACCACCCCAGAGATGCCGAAGGAGCACTGAGAGATAGAAACAAGGGCATAGTGTGAATAATAATAATAATAATAATAATAATAATAGTAATATTAAGAATTACTATTATTATTCAAGGGTGTCCCAGTTCAGCAGGTGCCTGTTCATCGTTGCTCTGCGAATCTCCAGTGTTGCTCCTGGATCTGTGCCATAGACGTCACATGCTGCCAGGAGGTCGAAGTAAAGCCCAAGAAAGAAGCCAGGAAGAAGGCCCTTGGGAACACTTTCACTGTGAGACTCCACTTGATGGTTGTATGGATGCCGCAGGGTAGCGAATCGTGAGCTGTCAGAGCCAGATGCTTGACAACTTGACATCGGCCTCTGCTTCACTTGGACACGAAGTGTGAAAAGTCCAGGACAAGAAGCCAACGCTTTTCAGCACCTTCACGCAGCATGACCTGGCCTTGCGGACACCTGGCTGATGCCTTCAGAATATGTATGTATGCTTCATGCTCCATATGGTAGACTGTCACCATGCAGCCTTTAGGCTCAAAGTTATAAATCAACATGAATCGCCGCTCAGGCGTTGGCAAGTATCATAAACCAGGTCTTCAGTCCAAGAATAGTACTATGCCGTGGTTCGGTTATGCAGAGTACGGGCTCTATTCTTGGCTTATTTTAAACACTTCCACTGAACTCATGCATGTGCAGCAACTGTGGGCTCGAAGCCGGGACGCTGGATCTTAGACATGTCAATGAAAATTCAATGAACATTGCCAGCTGCCACCAAGGAAAGAGGCCACGGAGGTTGCTGCTTCGCACTCGATGCAGGCACCAAAGATGCTTTGCGTTTTGCGTCCATGTCCTGAAGACCCGCGCCCCAGCGACGGGTCCAGGGCCTTCGAGCGCTGCAGGGGGGTGGTTTTATCATGACATGTGATGACCACAGATGCAGCGATAGAACCTGGAAGGTCAGCGAGGGCTCTGAGCAAGCGCGTCCCCCGTGGATTGTCCGTGTCGTGAACCACGCTTGGTTTGACCCGTTCTTCTCTGTGGTGGTGCTGCCTGGTGGCATTCTATCCTTGAGGTCTCCATGGCTCGAGGGCATCATGTCATGCTTGCATATGCCTTGCACTCTTGTATTTAAGATGTATTTAAGGGCAACCGGGGCCGAGGCAGCCTATCAGCAGAGTCAAGCAGAGTTCCCTTTTTTCAGGATTACCAACTCGGTGTTCATCGGCATTGATGTTGAGCTCAACCCATCAGCGATGGGCCCACGCTCAAGCATCATTGTGGCATGGCTTGCATGGTATCCTCATCAGTTCCAGATAGCCCCACCTTGTGACACCATGCTACTTGCAAATCCGAACTCGTGCTCAGGTTGCAGTGCAATACTTTTATACCTTTCTCTTCTGCCTGGAGCTTGCCTTCCGTTCTGCAGCGATGGGCAGGGAGTACTATTGTTCCAAGGAGCTGTGAACTTCAGGGCGTGGGAGGGGGCGAAGGTGTGGTCCTGCTTCTTTTGCTGCCAGGCACGTAGACTAAGAGGGTTGGCAAGTGACAATTCCCATATTGAGCCAGCTGAGCCAACGAAGGCTGAAAGCTGAGAATCTTGACAGGCAAAGATGAGGTGCACTGTCTGAGGCATTAAAAACTGTTGTTTGGCACCCCTCAACCCGAAACCCTAAACCCGAACCCTGAACGGAGACAGCGCGGAGTAAACCGTGGAGCTTGACTAGACATGTTGCAAAAAAAAGCCCACAACCACACTCCTCCGCAGGAGTGGATGTGGGCCGCCCTCGATGTTTTCATTGTCGCCACCTCCTTATGGGAGGTTTTCGTAGACACCTGGTATGCCATCGTCGAAGCTCGGCGCACCTCTTGGGTTCTGCGACTCCAGGAGTAGGTTCCTCTCAGATTCCTTGAACTCGATTCGGGTTAGGGTTTCGGGTGTAGGGTTTAGGGGTTCATCGCTGGACAGGACTGAGCCTGGGTTCAAAATCGCTTGAGCATATCTCCCGAGTGCATGCCATCAGTGTATAGTGACGCTGATGAAGCCGCTGCCCGTGAGTTGTTTCTAGGCGTGAGTACCAGCTCCTCGTTCCAAGAGGATTTAAGGTTTGGGGTCCTCAGCCCGGTGCTTAAGGGCGTTTGGGGTTTCTAGGCAATGAAGCCGACGTACTCCGTAGTCCCTGGTTCGCCAGGGCAAGACCCTCCCATCAGAATCCAGGTCCATGAACTGAAGCAAGACACTAGTCGCGATGAGGCTAAGCAAAGGCAGCAAAGGCTTCACTCAGGGTTCTGGTATGTTCTTGTCATTTTCTTGCGGTGCCAAAGGTAATCTCCTCTCTTGTTGCTTTTGCTGCACCCCGGCATGTGGCGGGGAAGCCGGCTGCATGAGCACATTTGCATGAGCAACATCGCTTCAGCGGAGCTGTGTGATTCCAGCACAAGAGCAAAAGCAACACCAAACTCTAAACCCTAAACTGGTGAGGGGCCTCAAGGGCTGAGCCTCATGCCTTGCCTGGCACTGCTAGACCCTGTGGACGCAACTGCAGAGAGAGAGAGAGAGAACCCTAAACCTAAACCTTAAACCCTGGCCCAGCGTGAGAGTCGAAATCCGAAACCCTTAACCTCCACGACTCAGGAAGACGAGGAAGGCAGCCTCGAGAGTTTCGGCGGCCTCACGGGCCTCAAAGCTTTCAGGACTGCCCTAAAACAGACCGGTAGGATTCCCTTTTTCTAAGGACCCCAATAAGGTACCCCCAATGTCGGAAACCACCATAATCAAGGGCCAATGTGTCTAGAGATCGGAGGTGGAGCAGTTTTGAACCCTTTCAATGAGGTGGAAGCGGTGGGTGGCAGGGGGACTAGAGGTATAAGGTTTTTTTTGCACCGGTTTTCGCATTTTCGGTTCGTGCCCGCAACAAGTTCGTCTGGTTCGGTTGGTGGTTCACGGATCGGTTCCTGACATTCCTGTTTATGCACTGTTTTGGGATTTGGGATGTCGAGAATGTCATGCCAAGCGGGGCGGATACCTCCCATGAGCCTACCACCCCCTTTCCCTGGCGTCCTGGATGCAAAAGGGCTTACAGGGCTTACCCGTACAAGCACACTTTTCAACGACACGGCGACCCGCCGTAAGCATCTCAAAAACGAGCAAAACCTCAGCAAGCCACATCAGCCAAGCAAAAACAACAAACAGTTTTGGTCCTTATGATGTTACAAATGTCCGGAAAGGAAGCAGACCTCAACGGAACATTGCACTGAAAGGCAAAGCTGTGGTCCGTAATGGGGGGAATGTGGGGATTAGTAAAGGGTTGCACAAAGGGAAAGCACGGGGGAGCTCGAACAAGCCTTGAATAAAACTCTACCAAACTGCAAGTCACCAGAACACGCAGCAGAAACTCTTGAAGCCAACGAGATTTTCCCAAGGCCCATGTTGTCAGCTAGAGGCATGGCCATGGTAGCTTGTTGACTTCTCGTCGGGACCCATTTGTGCCAATCTGCCTGTGGGGCCTATGGTAACTTCTAAGATCCACATACCCGTGCACCATGCATGCCTGCGCGCACAGTGCACAGGTCTGGGAATTAACGAGCTGAATGAATTCCACGACCAACTCATTCCGTGGTACCTCATGTGTCATGATTAGCGCCCTGTGAGGATTGTACGAATCACGCGGATAGTGAAGACAGTGCGCTTGATGCGCATATTCCGCTTTGTCCTGGCCCTGAGAACTCTAATACATTCGATTTGGCACACGCTGAAATCCTTGCCCCGTTGCAGCAAGAAGCCAATGTCTGTCGCTTGCGGGATTTTTAAAGACCCAAGTTGTAGCAGAGCTTGCAAGTAGCTTGCAAGTAGCTTGCAGGTTGCTTGCAGGTTGCTTGCAAGACTTCACTCCTGAGGTTCTGGGCATTGGTGCTGCTGCTTCTGATCGTTTACGTCTTCGGCATGATTTTTACGCAGGCCGTTAATGGTATCTTGGCGAGAGCCGTTGTTGTAGTGAAAGGTTGCCAGTAGCTTGGGAGAATTTTGAATGAAACAATGAAGTATCACAAGATGTCAACAACAGTTCGGTCAGCTCTGAGGTCACATCTTCGACCCTGATGCCCCGGAGCTGTCTTTGGAAGATACAGAAGTCAGCTTGCAACGCGTCCGACAGTAAGTACGAATGATGCGAATGGTTTCCTTGGCACACGCAACCAGTTGCGGGGCTGAGTTCATTCTGGCCGGTCGCTTTATGTCTTCTAGTGGCAATGCAGTCGTTCTTTCCGCATGGGCTCAGGTGGTGCTTTTGTAGTAAGCCATTTTTCATCACGCGAGCCGGCAGCTGGGAGTCCCATGACAAACCGTCTGGTTTCCTCAGCCCTGTGGTCTGCTGCACATGTTCATAGTTCGGGTTGGTACCGGCTGATCGTAGCGACATCATGGCTTGCGCATGCGCGCTACTTTTGGCCGTGGAAGTGGAAGCTCGCGCTCGGAATTCGTGTGTGCTGACCAGCTTTTTAAACTGGACTCGCAGTTTCACCGCCACTTGTGCCAACAACGCTGCAGGCACTATTACGGGAAGTTGACGACGACGATGTTGAGCCTGTTCATGAGTGTAACCGATGGAATAAGCTGGGAGCACCTTGGCAGCTTCGAGGTTCGAGATTCTTGTGCTAAAGGTTGTGCTAAAGGTTGCGGTGGGAGAGCTTGATGAAAAGAGGGCTACTTCTGGGGAAGGGGCTTCGGCACGAACACGTGCTGATGGTCCGCAGGCGGTTCTGTTAGAAGTCGGGCACCAACAAATCAGAGACATTTGTTGTTGAGGTTGAGGCAGGGTCGAGGTATGGCCACTTTAGTCGAGAGAGAGGGCTTGGGTTTGAATCTGTCTGAACGATACCTCATCTTCAAGCACTAACTTGCAATGACAAAGGATCACTTCTGGGGGTTCATCTGGTAGCCCCATGCGATAAACAATCTAGGCAATCTTTCGTTGCTGACAGCGGCCAAGGCACTGCTAGCTGCTCCCTGTTGCTCCCAAAGCCTGCCAAAAGACCCAAGACCCAAGCTGGAAGCAGCTCCGTGTTTCCGGCTGTTTATCAATCATTCTGAGAATCAAAAACACACGTGTAGTTCAGACCTGTCCTTCCCACCCCCATGCTGACACATGGCCCCCCCCCAAATCGAGATGAGAGAACAACTTGATACAACTTGCAGTCTTAGCTCAGGAAGATCAGTGGTCCGCTTGGAGAGATCTCGACTCTATGGCTGTTTCTCTTCATGCCGCCTGGCAAAGTTCTTGGCGCATTGTCGCTCCGGAGTGGAACAGCAATGGACGCCATGGAACAACAGCTTCGGTTTTGCTGTTCTGCAGGTTAGAACATGTTGGAACATCTTCAAACTGCGTTTTGTCGTGATCGCAAGTGCTGACTGTACCAAACCATACTTTGGACTTCAAGATTGGGAGTTTCAGGGTACTGTGCTGGGAGCATACGCAAGCTAAAGTTGCAGCTTGCGATCGTTGCCCGTAGATGCGCAGAATCGATGCAGCCAAGGTTCTATGTTTCATTTACATATTTTTGCGTGCTCAATGTCTTGACCGCCGTGTTTTGTGCCTTGCCAAGCGAGAAGGTTTCTCCAGGTCAGCTTTGATGGTGGGCAATGTGGTCTCGTGAGTTCGTCCATGGTCTGGATTTTCTTTTAAAACGCCCCATAGGGTCGTAGTAGAGTCGTAGTATGGTGGCGGTTATGCGACTGGTAAGGTAAGTATTATTACATACGCTTGGACACAAGAGTGTAATAAGAAGACATGTGGGTTCGATTGGCTCCATGCCGATGACTGTGCAGCACCCCTGAGCAAGCGCAGGGAAGCTTGGCGATTAAGAAGCCCGATGCACGAAACACATTACAGCCAGCCGTGGGCAAGAGTGAGAGACTGAGCCCTGTTGGCAAAAACTCCAGCAAAGTCCCCACCGAGCAGCATTGGCATAGCCCTCATCCAAGAGAGTCGAAAGGCTAGTGAAAGGTGGTTGCCATTGGTTGCCTAATTTGCTAGTGCCAGCGCTGCGCACGTGCAGGTCAAAGTGCCATTGAAAGTGCGCAGAATGATCATGCCACGGCAGTGCAGTCCATGCTTGCGAACAAGGCAGGGCACCATCACCAAGAAGAGTATCTTGTAAAGACAGACTTGGGTTTTGGGACATGCGTTGCATTGGGGTGGTTTGCTGCCCACCTTGTCCGGGCACAAACCCGTTCTGGCCTTACCATCGTCAGTGCGCAAGCACCAGCATGCCTCAGACATCCAGAGGGTAAATCGTTTCCTCCAATTCGCCAGTTTGTCGCTGTCTGTCAGAGCGGATCAAAATCGGCTGAAAGTTTTGAAAGGCAGAGTCCTACAAGTGCAATGTAGCTCGTCACCTTCATGTCAAAAGGACCCCCCTGTGTCCAGTCTCTCCAGGAGATGCACCTGCAGAAGATCCGGGCGCTGTTCAGCCAATTCGGAAACGACAAGACGAGCATGATCACTTTTGGGCAGCACCGCGGCTGCTGGTTGGGGTCGCTCTAGTCACATGCTGTTCGGGGAGTAAACTTTTGAATTGCCGAAGCGCTGTCCGTGGTCAATTATGGGTGATGCTGTGTGTTGATTTGAATGGGGCTTTGGATTAGGAAATGCTTGCAACAATTGTCCGAGTCATGCACATGTTCTTGAACAGGATGTATGTTCATTGTGGCATGCCGTCGGCCGAAGTCGACCTGCGAAATGATGCAAGCACTGCGTCGTGTTGGAATACATACATACATATATCTATATGTACAGATGAAGAAATAAATATATGCATATAAACATGTCATATATGTTTCTCCCTCCCTCTCTCTCTCTGTCTGTGCGTGCGCGCGTTGTCCGTGCTTGCATGCCGCTTCGTCCGCGCCACATGGTTCTGCACTGGGAGGGAGGATTCTGATATTTAGGCCCCATGGGCTTCCCCCGCGCTTCCGCGCTTTGCCTGTGCATGCTCTCTCTCTCTCTCTCTCACTCTCTCTCTCTCTCTCTCACTCTATGTATCTCACGCCCACCAACAACTCGCTGCCTGTAAGCTGCCATAGTGTCTGCTACTACGAGCGGTGGCCCTCAGGCAGCAGAACCCATGAGACCAGCCCTGAGTCCGCCAGCTTGGCAGGTTCGAGGCCAAAATCAACTCTGCAGAAGTGCGCGAGTACTTCGAGACGTTAGGTTTGGATGCGACTTGGGATGAAAGTTTGAGAATGGGGTTGCTATCGGTGTTGCTGGTTTGTCTTTGGCATGACCGCCGTGTGTTCTGCAGCTTGGCGACGCGGGTGTTGGGTGTCAGCGGTGTCTTGCCGAGTTGCCAGATTGTTGAAGGGCTGATCATACATGAAGAACAACTGAAGCAGGTGGAGGATGCGTGGAGTTTCTTCAAGTTGCTGGACCAGGATGGAGGAGGATCTGCTCCTCAACTTAGAAAAGTTCAAGGTCCCGCGTTTCGGTCATCATTTACTATATGGTCTTTGTCATCTTTCCCTTGGTTGCAGCCTTTTCCATTTCGCATGATCGAAAATGATCGAAAGTAGAGGTGCGCACGAATCGCGAACGAAACCGTGCTCTGATACTTAGGCGGTTGATACAGCGTGTTTTACGTGATGTGCGTGGAATTTCGAAATATTTCAGGTGCGCAGATCGTCTTGTTGTCGTCTCAACCCAAGCCCCAGCCACTTTCTTGTTTTGAACGCTGTGCTTGCCTGGTCTTTAGCAGGTTGAGATCGAAGAGTTCCTGAAGGGCTGTCTACGATTCCGAGGCGATGCAGAGCTGGGCCGTTCAGGGCACTGGAAGGAGGGTAAGCGGGCAGAAGTACCGGGGTTAACATTCATTTGGGGGTTACGAAACTAAGGGACCCCAAATATAGATCCCATATAGTAAGATTCCCTCATAATAAGGACCCCAAAGAGGGTACCCCTAATTTCGGACACCCCCATTTCCATTTTGTTCCCGGGAAGTCTGAACCCACATGCATCCACATGCCTCGCCCCGCAACACCGAGCTATAGCGGTAGCAAGAGCATGTGCACCTGAATAAGTTGGCAGGCCAGGCGAAGGCGATCGACATCGGGCAGCTACTGCATGACCAGAGTTGGCTGATTCGTGGCACCGCTGCGCTTGTGATGCTCTTGAATAGACCCATATAAGGATGCACACGATTTATGACATGTTGTCATCAGTTTCACGTCTGCATGGCTGTATTAGGGCTCCAGCTTAGATTGGGGTGCTCCTGGAAACTTTGAACTCTGCAAGCTACTGTAGGGACATCGATGAAACATCACGGAGGGTGGAGGGCGGATTGCTCCTCAAAGCTCGTGAGGTCACCAGAGTAGATTCCACACCTACATGGAGACGGAGCTCCAGAAACTGAAGCCACTTGGCTTGCCAGTGCAGGCGACTGATTGGGATGCAGTCACAGCGTGCGGCATCGTGTGGTAGACATCGGCTTCATGGGGGTGGGGAACTCACTGAGATTCCCAGGAAGCAGATCACCTCCTTGGTGACCGTATTGACGACCTCGCCAGACTCAACACCCGCGCGACGAATCCGCAAGAGGACCGAGGAGGAGAATGCCTTGAAAGCTGCGGCTGCGGCTGCCGCTGCCGAGGTGAGCCAAGCAAACGTTTAGAGGGCTCATGCAGAAATCCGGATGTACTCCTTGGCAAGCCCCGGATACTTGGAGCTGCCGTCATAAAGTTCGTTTTCGCTCCACAGGGAGAAAAATCGCTACACTGAACTACAGTTTGTTGGCGCCTATGATAGTGCCAACAACGTTGCACCGGCCCAAGTGGTCATGTTGCTGAAATTCTGTTGCCACTATGCCACGTGCTCTATATATGTGCGATAGGTTCACATGCTGTCGAAGCCTGTGCAGAAGCATTTCTTCAGATGTCGGATTCACGGCCTTGTGCAACGTTCCGAACCAGAAACGAAAGCTGTCGTCCTGGAGGCAGACTGAGCTGGAGATTTGGCCATGCTCCATGTACTGCACCCTCGACGCAAAGCTTTTTTGCGGCCTCGTTGGTAAAACCCTTGTCTCGAAATTCTGCTAACAATGTGGTTGGGATGATATTTACGCTTCCCGGTGCGTATGATGCTGGTCTGTTGGCAGGCATAGCGTCTTGGGGGTCGGAGGCAACATATGCGCTTGACCTGCTGTGACTCTTGTGGGTCCCTTGCATAGTGGTCCGTCTCAAAAAGTCTTCGGCCCACTTATCTGGGGGCCCTGAATTTGAGACCTGTGGCTAACCTGTTTCACACGCGGGCAAGAGCAAACGTGCAAGTGCAACTGCAGATGCGAGTGTCGTTCGCTGAGTGTGAACGGTTTCTGAGGTTGTGCAGGTTTAAGTTTTGGCAGTGCCTGTGGCGCGCTCGTGCCTGCTGCATTTCTTGTGTTGCAGGCTCACAGCAGGCTGCACATCTGCGCCATTTGCACACAAGACAGGCCACACATCCAACTCCGCAAGAATCGCAGGTACAAGTAAGAAGCTCGCTGCAAAGGAAACTGAGGCTTGGTTTTATCTGGTCAGAGCAGCCTGGGGCATGGTCCAGATTGAGCCGCCTGGCGAGGCAAGACATGATATCACTTGAGGTTGATCCCCTTGTGGGCCCTTAGTGTGGGGTCTTATATGGGCGTTCACGAACATAAGGGACCCCAAGTATCCCAAAACAGGTACCCCTCTAGAGTTTCGGAAACCCCCCCCCACATATTCCTTACAGTAGTCAGGGTTTACTCAAGGGCCCATCATCTGGATCAACCCCCACCGGGCAGCCGATAGATCGCAGGAGCCTCCGCTCCAGCATGCCAAGCAGGCAAATCCAGGCCGGGACAAACCTGGAATTCGGAGTTATTTGGGGGGTTTCCGAATCCGGGGTACCCTATAGGGTTCCTCATTATGAGGGGATCCCATTATTTGGGGGTCTATATTGGGGATCCCCTATTTTCGTAAACCCTCCTTTGTAGTTTCAAATCTTGAAACCTAGTCTGCACAGAGCTGCCCGGGTAAGGCGGCGTCAGTGTTACTCCGCATTGTCCATCTGGCAAGCAAGGCCAAATGTGGCGACCAGATATGGAAGCCTTGAGCAGCACCGAGTGGCTTGGACTTGCTGTTCTGCAAAGTACAGCCTCGCAGGTTGAGGTCGTGGAGTCCTGGGGGAGTCTGGTTAACTTGTTGCGAACATGACAATTCTTGCGAACATGAAGAGACTGAAAAACTGGAGCGTCGTGGAAAGACGATCGTCCCGCTCGGCTGAGGCGTTGGATCATGGCTTGTCTGGAGCTGCTCGGTTTGATCGGAGTAAAGTTGCCGAGGTTATGCTGCACCTGCTGAACGAAGTATAGATGGCCCCCAAGTAGTAGGAATTCCTCATAATAAGGACCCAATATGGCACCCCTCATATTGTAAACGCGCATGTGCCATTATGAACACAGCGCCTCCTTGGGGCTTCTTGGTCTTTGACTGGGTTTGCTAGGCGGCCTTTGGTTCAAAAAGGGCCGGTTTGACATAGTGGCCTCAGCCCCTTTTACGGGGACCGAACTTCAACTATGTTGAAGTATGTTGAAGTCGGTGGGGTCCGGACTGTGGAAAGGCTTGTCCAGGGGCTCTGCATTCTTCCGCAGGTCGCACCATCACCAGGTCAGTTCAAAGTTGGATGAGCAGAAGGAAGGGATGGGAGGGATGGGACATGTGGGATCCGGAATGAAAGTAGTAGGTGACGGTAGGTGATGGCATAGTGTTGCCACAGTATGCATGCTCACATGTCAGACGAAAGCGTGGCAAATCGCGCGTAGGCGTGCGAGGTGAAACGAAGTGCATGCTCTCCTGCAGTCTATGCCCTCCTGCGACTTTTAACTGACCGTGGCTCGCCTCCTCAAGTTCCTCGTGTGTTGCTTGTTTAACCAACGTCAGGAAAAACACGCCCCCACAGAACACCTGCAGAGTTTCCGCGTGTGCTGGCAGGATTTGATTGAACTCTTGCTGAAACGGCCCTTGCATTACGATGATCGCTGCTCTGCATGCACTTAAGTGGGTGGGATGTCCCCACGGACGCTGTGATCTCAATCTGAGCGGACCTCAACTCAACAACCGACACCCCTTTGCAATGGCAATTGGATATACATATTTATCCATCATCTCGACTATTTCTCTGTCTGTCGCTGGTGTGTCACAGACTGTAGGCCAGATGACTCAAAGTGTCCAGCCTCGAGGTTCTTGCGCGCGCAGCCACCAACCCCCCCCCTCCTCCCAAGAAGCAAAAGATAGAACACAGCACAGCGAAGGATATACATATACATATATAATATATATATATATATATGAACTATAAACACCTTCTGATTCTGATTTGAAGAAAAGAGATATGGAGTGTAGAAGGTGAGGGGTAGGTTGCATCAGTGTGGTCAGTTCTAGGAAACAAGACTGCCGGCGCCACTGTAGTTCTGAACAATACTGCTCTCTGAAAAAAAGAGGCAGTGCCGAGATTGCCAGCATTCTCTGTGCTAGCATGTCCCAGGGCGCAGTGAGGGCTCTTCCGCTTCGGACGCCAAGAAGGAGGTTTGGGCATTAGGCTGCAGGTTTCGCTGGTTTGCTTGAGAGGTTTGGGCTTGGGATGGGGGCGTGGATCAAACTCACTGCACGCAGCCTGCAGCAATGGTAGAGAGATGCAGACAGCATCAAAGCACTGAAGCAGCATAGGCAGCCAGCAGAAGCCACACATTCTGGCGGGGGGATTCCTTTTCCGGCCTTTTCCAGGATCAGTCGGGAAGGAGAAGAACGGAAGTTCCTGTGCAGCATTGCACGTAATAAACACTAGCAGCAGCATGTAAGCTGCCCTTCCTGCACCTTTGCCTAGTTCGCCAATCTGCTCAGACTTCAAAGTAGAGAGAGAATCGCAGAGCAGCAACTTACACCAGAGTGACACGAAGTCACCATCTTCTTTTGCTGAACAACAAAGCCCTACCTTCGTCAAATTCAGCAGCAGAGGCACCAGCGTCGCATTACATACGCTGTCGGCCTTCAAGGAACTGTCCTGTCATGTCGAGGTACCACCCTGCAGTAGCCATCAGTAAAGAGCAGTCATCAGGTAGGTTGAGAAGTGAGGGTCGACAGGTTCATCAGCAACAACCTCAGCCTCAGTCGCATGCACCGAGGTCAAGAAGCCTACGCTATTTAGTACCTTCACGGCGCACGACTTTCAACTGAAGCACTTCGGCCTTGTCAGTTGCCAACGCTTTGAATTTGCCAGTTTAATTTTGTGAGCTGGTCGACACTTGGAAAATTCGTGTAAATACGGGCAGAAGGCTTTTATCATGGTTGCAGGGGCAACTTGAAGGGTTCCAAGGGCTAGAGCTGCAGCATCCAGTCCCCCCAACTGCTTGGAAATGGCGCTCTTGTCCTTCTGCATCATTAGACGCTTTTTTTCTGAATCTTCACAGTTGCGGCAGACGGTTCGAATGACGTCGAACGTCGCAGAGTCACCCATCCGCTGTGTTTTACTGGAAACTGGAAACCTCCAAGGATGGAGGCCGCTGGCGTGTCAGCCACACAGTCCATGCAGGCTCCACATGGCTCCACAGCTGGCTTCCCGTTTCTTCTGGTTTTTTGTTCAATCCTTCAATCCTTCGGGCTGGTGAAGGATGTTGAAGGATCCTTACAGCTTCAAGAGGGTCGTACACGCATGTACACGCAACATCAGCTACTGAACTACTGACATCCCAAGCAGCACATGGCATCCATAATCGCCTGTGGTCAATGGACTTTGAGCTTTCGCAGGTCAGTGAAGCAGATCTGCCGCATGATCGCAGTGAGAAATGGTTGAGACGCGTCGCGACGCATGCCTGGTTTGACGTCTTCTTCTCCTTGGTGGTGCTTCTCGGCGGCATAGTTCACGCATGCTCACGGTCACGCCTTGCCTTGCCTTCTCAGCATAGCTGGTTGTTCATTGTGCTCAGCAGAGCCCTTTTGCTTTTGAGTTGTGCGTGGAGTTGAATGCAGCCGAACTGCATAGACATCAAAGTACATGGGCCCGGCATGTGAAAATGGAGGAAATGCCCTCGCCGAATGTTTAGATTTGAAATTTGACCTCCTGTGCCTCCACCATCCTCAGACCCATGTCCTCCCAAGCTATCTTGTGCATCTCCTGGGGCCCAGAATCACCAACGCCATCTTCATTGGCATCGACGTGCAGATGAATCCGACAGCTATGGGTCCACGCTCGGCGTTCATGGCTGCACGGCATCACCTTTCTGGCTCAGCTTCTCTTGTGACATCGCGCAGTCGTAAGGAATGTGTAGAAAGCCACTGAGGTCTCAATACAGTACTTCTACACGCTTCTCTTTTGCATAGAGCTAGCCATCCGCGCCATTGGCTTGGGCAAGGAGTACTTCTGCTCCAAGGCGCCTACGGGGTTGTTGAAGATTGTGAAAGTCGGACAATTGGCCCCGCAGTTTTGGAGGGTGTGCCCAGCAGCATCAGAACCGGGAGAGTTCCTCAGCCTCGTAGCCATTCCAAAAGCATGCGACAACCCTAAACCCTAAACATCGGGCAGGAGTGGGTGTGGGCAGTGCTCGATATTTTCATCGTGGCTACTTCCATCTGGGAAGTTTTGGTGGACACCTGGTATGCCCTCGTAGCCACTCAGTGCCTGATACCAGCAGCTTCTTCAGCTTTTCGTGTCGCACTTTCCTGTATTCCAGCCTTTGCTCGCATCAGCGTCCAAGAACCTGCCAGGTTGAAGTTGAAATCCCCTCTCTTTACTTCCCCCGGCCAAGTTAGCTGGCCGCAGTTTTCACAAGACTAAAGCCAATTGCATCCCAGTAGGGGGCCATGTTGGTGGGGGGGAGGGGAGGGGCGCACCAGAACTGCAGCGTCGCAAAGCAATGGACTTCTCCAGGTGCAGTCCCCAACACTTGGCATGTCTTTTTGCATTGACTTTGCAAGGAAGACGGCTCAACCAACCTCGAAAGTGTTGGCGGCCTCGGGGGACTCAAAGCCTTCAGGACGCAAGATGCTTGCTTTCGACTAGAAAACAGCTAACACCGATGCTGTGCCTTCATGAGTAAACAGGATGGCATGCAAACCTCACCACACAGGAGGGCTGATAGTCTCAATAAGCCCTCGTCCTGCTTCATTGCCTCTACTCAGACGTGGTCGTGAACATGCTCTCGAGGCCCAAGCAGAGGGGTCGCAAAGCGGCTAAGCCCCGCAAACCTCCCTGGAGGATTATTCGAATCACGCGCATCGTGAAGACGGTGCGCCTGATGCGCATCTTCCGCTTCGTTTTAGCGTTGAGGACGCTCGTCCACTCCATCCTTCATACGCTCAAGGCTTTGCTCCTCTGCGGCATGTGGCCAACTTCTCCGAAGACTAGACCCCAGTATCGAAACAGGGGTCAAACTATTTTCGCAACTTAGCCCTTGGATTATGAAATGGGTTCAGGACACTTTTAGTGCTTCGGAGTTGATTGGGACAAAGGGATAACCATTCCACAGGTTGCGGTAGCAGATGGGCCGGCACAGGTATCGACAAACATTGAAAAGCAATAACAGAAGTTTGAGAACGTCAGGGAACAATTGATACGCATGATAGATGAATTTGCTAGGATGAGCCGGGTTGTTCCGGGGGTCCCTGGTCTTCTGGTAGTCTGGGTTCTTTCGACCCCCTGGTTAAGAAAGGCTGAAATTTGCAGCCATTATTGAGCCGTGGAGCAGTTTAAAACGCTGTACTTCGCAGCATTTGTCGCCCTGCATTTCTCAGCATTTAGAGCCCTGGAACAGCCAGACATGCTGCATTTCATAGCATTTGTTTGCACACACAAGTTGCTCTTGATGTCTTTCAATTTTGTGTGGGCTGGGGCAAAGATCAGGCGTTGTCTGTCCCATCTGTTTTTGATGTAGCACCCGGCCATCTCTGAACTCAAACATTCCGCTTCTGATCAGCACCTGCTGTTCCGATTCGGGCTGACGAAAGCCGTGATTGGCAGGTTCTGGGCACTGGTGCTGCTGTTCTTGATAGTCTACGTGTTCGCCTTGATCTTTACGCAGGCAGTGAATGGCAACTTGGCTGTAAAGAAACTGGTGTCAAGCTCCGGTAGATTCCTGTGCTGGGGCGGATGATGCAGTGGGAGCAACACACTTTCTGAGAGCCAACTAAAGTGGTGCCCCTGTGCCTCTGCTTGCCCCCAAACCCTAAACCCCTAAACCCTAAACACTAAACCTTCCTGTGCAAGGTTACATCTTTGATCCTGCAGCTCCGCAGTTGCCCCCAGAAGAGCTCGAAGTCAGCGCGTGACTCGAAAGCATGGGAGAGCCAATGTGAGAGCTGCGAGAGTCAGCAGAAAATGCCCCCGGCTTCCATTCCGCAGCTATTACAGTAGGCATACTTGGCAAATGGGGTTTGCGAAAATGGGGACCCTTAGAATAGAACCTAAATAGCAGGATTCCCTGATAATGAAGGCCCCAGTAAGGTACGCCTCATTCGGAAACCACCATATTTCTTTCTCTGACTGTTGAGGTGACAGAGTCTTCAAACGGACTGCATGACTTGCCGACACTTTTTGTCAAGGCGCTTTCCCCATGCACTGTTGCCTGCAAACTTCAATGAGGTCCTTCTACGGATCCTTGACCGACACGATGATCAGCCTTTTCATGAGTGTGGCTGACGGGCTGAGCTGGGAGATACTTGGCTGTGTCACTGCACCTGTGTCATATATCCGAATGTCAAAAATGCACCAATGGGGCGAGGCCTCAGTCCAAAGTTGCCGCGAACTCGACTGCTTTGATGTCTGGTCGGGAGATGGTATTGGAATGATTTTGACAGCGGCAATCAGAAAGTAATGGGCTGATCGGAGGCGCAGAAAACCAACAGTCGCATGGCATCCTCCATTCACCAAGAAGATCTGTTGAGAAAAATGATGGTGACATGGTAGCTAGATCTGGTCTGGGGTGTAATTACGTGGCTTCGTTAGTAGCAAGTTGTGCAGCTCTGCAATGTCAGGGCATTCCTGCTGTGTATGATTAAAAGGCATTGCAGAGGCTTTTGCTGATACCTGAGAAGAGGAAAATCTACCGGCCACTGGGGCTGATCTCACCAATCTGGAGCTTCTTCTTTCTGTTGCGCGGCAGCAGGTAACATCTGGAAGGTGGCGTTTAAGCACTATACTAGGGTGTTGAAGGACTGTGTGGCCACCATAGTGGCAACATGCGCAAGCCTGGTTCTGTCATATTTGGTTCGTTCAAAGATAGAATTGAGGGGCACTAGTTGACTCTTGATGTGGCTCCCGCCGCGGGGCGTTTACGTATTTGTCACGTGCTTTCATTTTGCCCGGCATGTCTTGACACTCTTACGCCGTTTGCCACGGAACCGAAAGCAGCGGGGCGAAACTACTGTGGTGCCGCAGCTGGCCAAGACCGAGCCAGGGGGTTTCAGGCGCGCGTTTGTTGGCTAAGGAACTCCGGCAGTGAGCTCCTGAAATGCTCATTTGGACACATGTGACACATGTGTCATTAGAGTAACACCTGGGCCCCTCCCCCCTTCCCATGCTACAGTTCGGCCCGGCCGTGTCTGACAAATGTACAAAAATCTGTAGAGTCTACTGTACGTTTTGCCCCCGAAATTCGACACCTTTAACTTCAGAGCCCCGCTGCACCTTGCCCATGAGATGCAAGTCGATTTCAACTGACTGGAGCGAAAGGATTTAGCAATGGGCCAATGGGGCGACGTAAATGCAAGCACGTTTGCCGTGTGGATCCGTAGGCGTAGGCTGCATGGGGCTTCCACGAAAAGAGGCTGGAAGCTTGTTCGCGTGGCAGGGGTGATGCACGCGATGCTCGGCTCGACTTGACGTCTGGCTCTCGCCTAAACAAGGGAGCTGCAGCACAACTAACGGCAGTGCCAGCAGCGGCAGCAGCCGAGGCAGCAGCCGAGGCAGCAGCGGCAGCAGCCGAGGCAGCAGCCGAGGCAGCAGCCGAGGCAGCAGCCGAGGCAGCAGCCGAGGCAGCAGCGGCAGCAGCAGCGGCAGCAGCAGCGGCAGCGGCAGCAGCAGCGGCAGCAGCAGCGGCAGCAGCAGCGGCAGCAGCAGCGGCAGCAGCAGCGGCAGCAGCAGCGGCAGCAGCAGCGGCAGCAGCAGCGGCAGCAGCAGCGGCAGCAGCAGCGGCAGCAGCAGCGGCAGCAGCAGCGGCAGCAGCAGCGGCTTGTGGTCTCTTCAAAAGCGTTTTGAGTGGCAAACGCCCGGCGAATGCCACGCATGTCATGATTTATGCGAATTCTTCAGGCATGATGGACAGTCGCACAAAGTTGTCCGATCAGGAGTTTTACGCAGCGGCTTGAGCCCATGTGCGTTGGTGGTTGTCAGTCTCATTCCTGTTCAGAGGCTGCGCCAGCAAGCTCTGATCCTGTCGTCGTAACTATACGCGCTCAGAGCGGGAGCGAAGGTGCCGGTGCAGGTTGAAACCGCCAAGACTCGGCTTCGAAATTTCTACACGGCCATTTCCACTACGAAGACGCCGCAAGAAGTACGATAGGAACGCTTACACCAATTTGTTCGCAAGAAGCTGCGCGAAAACATGGAACACATGTGCGTTGCGTCATCTCCAGCTGGACACGAGGTGTCAGACAAAACTTTGTCATAGCAGACTTAGCAGTTTCAAATGCCTCGCAGGTGGCACGTTATGCTCCGCACAGCCCGTAAGCTTTGCCACGCGATGTTCCTGCCTTCCTATTTGGCGTCAAGTTAGGAAGAGTGGCCGTAGCCTTATCGACTACGGTCGTTTGTGCGCATAGCACCCCCAACAAGCTACTAGACCCACAATGGAGAGATATAGTATGTGTGTGTATACATATTATATATATATATATATATTATGTGTGTTGCTGAACTGCTGGAACTCGTTGTAGTCGCCAGCAGTGAGAAAATCGGAAAGAGAGAACGACATCCCCCTTCTTGGAGAGGTCTTTCCCTGGTGCGACAGGCATTCCAAAGTTCAGAGCAAAACTCTCGCAGCAAAATCAAGCGCCGTCCAAGAAGCGTGGGACTCTCAGAGCCTTGCCCGCTCGATCGCCTCAGCCTGGCGCAAGAGTTCTTGGACTAGTGACCAGAAACTAGTACTATACGTCCTGGTCACATCCTATGGTTGCTGCACGGGATGAGCCCGCCAGACGTCGAGTCGTGCAGAAGGATGCCGAAAAGCCTGTTCTTCAAAACCCAAACCATCTCGACTGCGGGAAATGCCCAGTGAACAAACTTGGTGATGTCACGTTCCAAAATCTCCCTGATAAGGTGCGCGTGGCATTGGTTAAGACAGAGAATGTCGCCGAAATGTTCACTACAGTACAGCTTATGCACACAACCTGCCTGATGCTGGTGGTGACTGTGCTGTTGTCCTTTGGGATTATGACGCTAAAGAGCACGCTAGGGCCGCGGCCATTTCACTTGAAGGACCGTGTTGGACTGCGGTGCCATTGGAAGTAAGATGCCTCAACCCGCCGAGACAAAATCACAAAAAGCTGATGCGCCACAAGATGCTGAGTGCGTTGCCATGTTTCAAGGGTTGACATCTCAAGCGAAGTAGGAGAGTTGGCCATCTTCTCGGGTAGATTTGGGTGCTTTCACGACAGAAGCCGCCGCGAATGCTGACTGCCTTGATATTGATGCTACGTTCGGAAGAGAGTGCGCAGAGCATGTGTCCAACATCGACTTCAGAGGGTAACTTGTCGTCCACACGTTGAGACTCGGCACGCAACCGCCCCGTGCACTAGTAACTAGATAGCGCGTAAACGTTGCGAACTTGATGATGCAGACATGATCACAAGCACAGTTCAAAATGCCATCGGTAGAAACTTGAAAACACAAAGGCTCGCAACTAAGAACTCGAGAAATGCTCGGCAAGTTTTTGTTTGTGCAGAAAACAGCGTGATGGCTCGAGTCTCGAGGTTGCGGTCTTCTAGCTTGTGTGTGAACCATGTATAAGTTGTATCAGCTACCATCAAGACCCGGAGAACATGCTTTCTCATGGGATATATGTGTCTTGTCGTGATATTGAGGTACACAGCCTTTCAATGAACCAAAACCGTGAGAACTTGGGCGCAACACATCCCACGAGCTAAGGTTTTATATATGTTTTGTGTATCTTGGTCGCCCAGTCGTACTCTTTTTCGCTTTTTTTGGTTCAAGGTTCCCTACGAAGTAACCAACCCAGAAAAGCGTACCCTCATTGTAATATGGCTACTGGGCTACCAAGGTATTTTGCTGTGTTGAACGTGCTGACGGCGGTCTTTTGCTCCTTGTCACGATTCGCAGCACATGCAGGCAGGGAGAGGTAGGTGGACATTGGATAAACTGATGGCTTTCTAGAAGCCCTGGACTAGTAGTTTCGATTGCCGAACCACTTGAGAACTTTCAATTGCGCCACCACAGAAATCCACAGGTTCGGGTTTCTGCCTTCATCATAAGTTTCGCCTGCATATTCATGCGCTCCCCCGCAAAGGTTTCAATAGTGGTCTTGTTCGCGTATGCCATGTGCGGAGACTCACGTGAACAGCCAGCTATGCAGATTCACTTTCGATCCATGCAAGTCTCAGTTCAAGCCCTTTGGTGGTCAAAGGTTGGTCGTATCGCCGTAGCCACATCCTAGTAAGTTGTCATTGTGCTATGGATGTGTCCGAATGGTGGCAAAAAACCAAACGTTGGCTTGGTAGTAAGGTCAGAGTGCCATCGAGAGCGCGCAACACGACCACGCAACCGCTGTGCAGAACATGATGGCCAACAAGGCAGGTCGACAAATATTGGATCAACTGGAACACTGGAACGTTCGCAGATCCAAGCCAGATTAAATCAAGGCATTTCAAGTTGAGGCGGAAAGGTATCACAACCTGCACAGTCGGGGTTGTGCCTGCAGTCTAACTTTGAGCGGGTCAAGAGGGTCGCCCTTCCCAGTGGGGATGTCTTTACAGTACAGTGTGCGGTGTCTCAAGAATTGCTTTGGGCATCTCTGGGCCACTTCCTGATATCTTGGCAGTACCCACCCCGGTCTTGTGCATACAGGCCTGGAATCCACCAGCAACCAGCGCTACCTTTTTCAGACCGCACAGCTGGCCCTCAATGCTTTTGACACATGTGATGGGGCTCTTAGAGTTCGAGCTCCCCGATTCAGGAGATGCACTTGAAGAAGATCCGCACCCTCTTCAACCAACTGGGCACTGACGAGTCTGGCTCTATTACTTTCGGGCAGTGGCGCGGCAAAACTGTCTTTCTTGCATGCCATAAAAAAGCGGAGGGCAAGTAGCAGGGTAGCGCTTCTGACAGCACATGCGCGGTTGCGTCAGGTTTTTTCGGTGTTGGGGCTGGGCATGGTCCTGTATGGATGCTTCTGGGAGCATCGCTCTTTAACATGATGCTAACAGAATACAGGGGGCTCACTGGGCAAGGCAAGGCTGGGTGGCTAAACGTGGTCGCGGTCGGGACTCCCCACACTCACACTGACTGCGCCCATCCGGCTGTTGGGATAGCGGATGCAGAACTAATGCAGCCCAGGTGGAAAGGTTCTGTTTTTTTCCAAAGGCCCACTGCCCCAGAATGCGGGCAGACTCCCTACAGTCCTGAGCCTGAACATCTCGACCCTGCGCTGCGAAGCTTCAATCCACGCGATGTTTCAGGCCCGCAGTTCCATTCGCCTCACAACCTCACAGGTTCGAGTCCAAAATCCACTCGCCAGAAGTCCGCGAGTACTTCGAGACCCTGGGGTTGGATGCTTCTTGGCGTGATATCTGGAGCAGCTCAGAGATTCAGAAATCTGCATTCAATGGCTGAAGTAGCACTTCGCGGAGCCTGATGGGCGAGCTACCAATGGTGGCTCAGATGCTTCGGCATCAGGGCTTCAATGCATTTGGAGGGCCCAGGTGTTTCTGCGCAGACATAGAAAGCAGCAACAACCGGCAACAACCGGCAACAAGGAAGCAGCAAGAAGCAACAAACAGAGCCCTGCAGGTCGAGGATGCATGGAGCTTCTTTAAGCTGCTGGACCGGGATGGTGGCGGATCGGAGCCCTGGCGAGACCTGACCTGATCCTCCCCCAACTCCTCCAGGTTTAAAAGGGCGTTGAGGTGTTTTTAGAAGAAGTTCGAAAGGAGTAAGAATCAGAAGAGTCATGACACATAGTGACAGTGAGTATTTTTCTTTACGAACCCCCTTAAAGTCACAGAGAGAAGCACATGGGAACATATTATCTGATTATTATGGGAAAAAGCATATTAACAATGACATGGCCAGCCCAAACCTCTCAGGTGGAAATCGGCGAGTTCCTAAAGGGCTGCCTGCGTTTCCGAGGCCTGTTTGCGACCTTTTTTCCCTTTTTGCGTTGATGCTGGCGATCTTTCGTTTTTAGTGAAAGTTTCACGTGTTCATGACTAAGTCGAAAAAGTATCATGTGCAGTAGTAGCAGAAGGAGTAGTGCTGTTGCTATTCCTATTGCTACTTGCTATTGCTATTGCTAGTGCCGTTGCTACTAGCTAACATTGCTACGAATTGCTGCGAACAGACATGATTCATAATATTCTTAGCGCACGCATGAATAGACTGTTTCCCCTTGTCGTGTTTTCACAGCATGTACAGATTAATGAGATCCAGCAGCAATGGCAGTGTCCCGTAGATGATTGGGGCAATTGACTGCAGAACGTTTGGTGCCTTTCCCGAAAGAAATCCAATCTGCAGGTCAGGCCAGGGCCATAGATATTGGTCAGCTGCTCCACGATCAGGGCTGGCTGTTGCGCTCCTCGGCTCGGCAGTGGAGTTGTGTGCGGGTCGGACAGTTTGGGTTTTGCAGCTCCAGCAATCGTCGCGAAGCGGGCGGGCGTTTTAATAGCACCACTCAGCAGCCCTTTCAGATTGTGTTCATCATCAGACCTCAGATGACTTCAAGAACCTCCACCGATTTGCCAGAACATGGCTCCTAGCAGGGCATGCTCACTGCACAAGTGAAGAAGAGTAGTGCTGGTGAAAGTTTCGGGACTTGGTGCGGCTTTTGGTCAGAGAAGGGGCACTCTGGTGAGGACACCAAAGCAGATTCCACACCTACATGGAGATGGAGCACCAGAAGCTGATGCCACTTGCCTTGATTGGAAATCTGATTGCTGCCTTTGTTTTGCCTTCTACCCCCTGAGCTCCAGAGAGAATCAGCTTTGCCCGGAGCAGGAGCGTGGATTCGTTGATGGTTTTGTTCTTTGACTTGGCCTTTCTGAAGTTACCGTCAGCAGAATCAGATCGCAAAAGGATCAGGTAAGAGGAAATTTGGGGTTGCACTTGATGGGCTGCTAGATCGATATTGATCAGGTTGCATGTCGCAGACAAGTGCTTGCCAAGGGAGCAGATCTCTTCTTTGAAGGACCTGCTAACTGGCTCAGCAGGCGGCACGCCGCGTCAAAGGTCAAGACGGCCGGACAAGGAGCAAAGCCTCCGCACTGAGCCCATGTCAGAGAAGCCGCGCACGAAGTTGGTGTAGCATGCTGGCGTCCCACAAATTTCCGCTGCTGCATCTGGTTTTAAGGTGTGCTGTGTTTGAAATTTGGAGCTCCTTTCCTGAAAGGCCGTTGGCCTTCAGTGCTGGGATCTGCACTTCCACGATCTCTGGTTGAGGTCGTTCGCGAATTCCTCGCCCATGAAGAGATGAAAGAAGCCCGCCCCCTTTCACGGCACTTTAGAGAACAGCCCACATGCTCAGCCAAAGAAGCATGGGACGAGAGGATGCGCGATGCAAAAAGACTCAGACCGAAGGTCTTCGAGGTATGCAGTCCATGCTGACACAGGGGCAAACATCTCCTTCTGACTCCTTCTGACCGCCGTCAAAGAAAAATTACATGAGTGCAGCCTGCAACTACCACATTGCATCTTCATTCTCGTACTTCTATAATGTTTCAACTGAAGAGATCTCTTTCATGAAACATGGGGCACTTCGTCCAGCTGATCCTGATGTGTCCGCCAGTACTTCTTTGGATTTTGCATGATATGTCTGTACGCTTCTCATGATTGCTGCTATTTCGCCAGGTTGCCGCAGCCAGTCGCCTGCCTACGGGGTGGCGCGGTTAGTTTATTTCAGTTGCTGGGGCTTCGAGTACTGCACTGGGCTGTGGAATTTGTGGAGATGCGGTTCCGCTGTGCGGCACCTTGATGGAGTCTTCCTGCGGAAGTTGCACGAACATGCGCGGCGTGTCTGGGGAACGTAGCCGAGCAGCGGATTCAGCATTGATAAAGCTTCTTTAACTTTAACTTTCACCATCTTTCACACTAGGTCGGTCGATGCTGCTGGATTCCCGAGACTGCGGAACAGTTCCGCAGCTGCAAGACTCTTGGCAGCGTTGAAGATCTGATCAGGTATGCCAGGTATGCGCTCGGTTCAATGTAGATAGCCGGAAGCGGAGTATCCGCGGCTTGTCTGCCAAGTTCCTATCAGCCAAGTGGAATGAACATGCAACTGTTCAACAGTACGACGTTCCGGACATGAACACTGAGGCAGACACGAAGAGTGACAGTAAGCCTTCTGAAAGCCCAGACAGTCGCCCGACCCAGGCAGTCCACCCACATCTCTCGCACGATCTCTGGCGAAGAGCACTGCGAACCTTGGAGGCCTTGGTCCGTTGCCTTCGCCACGTTGCCCCCTATAACCATAAACCACAAACCCGAAAGAACCATGGGACAGTGTGTACCTCGCCTGACTTGTCCGAGTGTGAGCGATTAAAGCCCTCATCCTCGCCTGCCTTGCCCTCTCATCAAGCATCTTCCTTCGCATTGGGCCCGCGCTCTTGCAGCGGTGCCAGCCCTGGTAGGCGGTGGAGAAGCCAGGTGTTCAGACCGAACCTTGGCACCCAAAAGCCTGATAGCGGTGCAGTTTGCTGAGGGTCGCTCTGTGTGGCATGGTGGAAATGTTTTGCCGCCGTGAAGCTGTGGGATTGCCGCATCTTGACATTTGAATGGAAGGTCGTTGGATCCTATACAAAGTCACTCTTACTTCGCCTGTCGGAAGTTCCGCTGAGGACTTCGTGAGCCATCTGTCAGCAGCGCAGGCAGCTTGTGGCAACCTGCGTTGTCGCGGTGGGATGCAGCAGTTTGGAAAAATTCCGGTTGTGTCGAGGCCCCATGCGCCCATGTGCCCAAGAACCTGGGTGCAGGTTTCCTAGTAGCCAAGCATTGAACGCCGAAGACCTTGTCAAGGCCATGGATCCAATTTGCAATGCAAGGCGGCCCTCAAGACTTCATCATGGACCCTGCCGCTGACGCTGCTTGAAGCCCTGCGCTTTCAGGCCGTGGCCCTTCATACAAGAAACCCTACACCCTAAACCCTAGTCAGACTCAAAGCCCAGGGTGCCGGCTGTTGCTATTCCCAGGCACCCCTTCTGCGACAGGGGGTTGCCCTACACATGTGCCTTGGCGGGGATGTGGCCTTATTGCTGGCAGTAGCCTGGTCGCTGGAATATGATGCGTGGACCTGAAATCGAAACCCAAACCCCAAATCGGATAAACCCTAAACCCTACAGTTTGGGGATGAGCTCTTTCGTGGAGTGGTGTCACCCGGAATGGACTGTATGCGGCAGGGAGTTACAAAGTATCACCAGTGCCTGCCTCGCCTGGCGTGTCCGAGTGTGAGCGACTAAACCCTACAGTTGGGAGTACTTGGGCGTCTTTAGAGAGGATTTGGAGGATACGAGATTGAACGAACCAACCGGCTTCATTAGCCCGCACGCCTAAACCCTAAAACCCTAAACCCTAAAAAACTAAACCCTGAACCCTGAAGGAAGTGCTGCAGCGCAGCCCTCAGTGCTGTGGGCCCGGGCTCCTGGCCTCGGGCCCTGGGCCTCCTCAGGTGCGGGAACTCGTGTTTTCGACCTTGATACAATTTTTACATGTAAAACTATCTTGTTAGATATATTTCCATTTACACGCATGTATATATATATATACATATACATGTATATTTATGTTATTTTAGTCTTTATTAGTTATATGTGTGTGTGTATATGTATGTCTTTATGTGTGTCTGAGACTGTGTCTGTTTGAACGCAACGTATATACGTGGACACGCCCTCGCCCATGACCTAAACAAGACCTTTTGAAATGTTGACCTGCCATTTGCATATCCCCCCCCCCCCCGGCGCTAAATGGTCTGTGTAGTAAATGGATGGTGATTATGTTTTGGTTGGAGGCCCACTGCTGTTAACAATCAGATTAGTATCATGAAAGGCTGTGCGTCTGAAGGGTGCGACGGAGTAGTAGTGAAGAGAATGTTCTATACACACTTGTGCCACATATGCTGCTCTGTGTTCACATACATAATATGTATGTGAATGTATAATTATATATATATATATATACATATATTCCTGCACGACAGAATCGACCTATTTCCCATGCCATGCCAAATCGTGAAGTTTTGCCTATGCATCCCAAAGACAAGTAATGGCATGTGTGTGTGGATGAACATGTGACTTTCTTCAGCACACATCACCTCACCGGTAAGTCCGGGCTGGGTTGGGGGTGGTGAGCATGTATACATATATATATATATATATACAGAAAGATTAGATTAGTATACATTCTAATCTACATACATTCTAGTCTTCCATCTCTGTCTCCCCCCTGTCCCCGTCCCTCTCTCACTCTCTTTCTACTAATTATGGGCTTGGTGTTTCTCCCTCTCCCTCTCCCTCTCCCTCTCCCTCTTTCTCTCGGGGTGCGGGCCGGGGCTGATTTGTCAGCTTCGCAGATTTCACACTCGCAGGCGTGGGAGGTCGTGAGGTTTGTGGCTATTGCGCGTTATGCCGCTCGCACGACATTGCCTCGAGGCTCCGTTTCCAACCTGCTTCCTTCCTTTGCCAATCTTGTAGAGCATGAACCGGATTTCCCCACGTACGTCCGATTGGCAGGTACGCTACAGCACAGTCGCTGGAGTCCGAGCTGCAATAAAGGTGGCACAGCTTGTGTTTGCCTGAGGGGTAGCGTGCTTGTGTCTCCTACTTTGTGGTTGGTGTTGCTTTTATTGTTTTGTTGGGTGCCGTTCTCTGGAAGGGTATGGGCCTGGTCAGACCTGACGGGTTGGGCCATCGCCTCAAGGGCCCTTGGTGCGCACCAATCGAAACTTCGAATTCGGGAACCCCCTGAAATTTTCCGAGTTGGGCCGTGCAGGGCTCACGTGTTAGCGTGTTGGGTTGCAACCTTGTTCCCCGTTATACCAACAATCCTTAATAGGGATTACAGTACCCCCTACTAGAATCCCTATTCAGGACTGATAGTATAGGGAACATCCCAAGTTGCAACCTCACAAGGAGTCCACCCTGGTGATGTGCACTGCAGCGCTCCGGGCTTGCTCCATCGGCCAGTCCTGGCTCCCAGCTTGGAAGGGTCCTAAGGCTGTCGAAGGTTGGGTTTAGGGCTTAGGGTTGAGGGTTTTTGAAGGCTGGGAAGTAAGTGCCGTGTCAGCTGATCTGCCAGCAGGGGATGAAAGCAAGTCCCAGAAGCAGTCCTGAAAAGTTGTCGGCCATTGATGCAACATTTGAGCTTTAAGACCATGGTCAGGTTGTTTGCGTCGCAGCTGGTCCACCAGATGCAGCTCACCAACACAAGACCAGACGAGGTCACCTACGGTGCCTCGCCTCAGCAGGGCTGCAACGAGCAATCCTGGATTCAGGATGTGATTCCTGCTCCAAAGCCATTCCTTTGAGTGACTTTCAAGCTTTCTTGTACTGCAAATGCTTAAGTAAGCTGTGCTCACAGCCCCAACGATGCAGCAGGAGCCGAGGCCCTCCATCGTCAAATCACCGAGAGCTGGGTTCGACTCTCCCTTTGAGGCAGAGCATCCCAGGCCCCACCCGCGTAAACGGTTCCTCTGAATCCAGTCGCAACCAACAGTGTTGCAGACTGAAGCGAAACCCTAAAAAACCAACAACGTCAGACTGGCGAAGACTGATCGACGCATGGCATCTAACGGTATCCGAGGTTCCTTGGCTTGCCAGGCTCAGACAGACGCTTGTCATGCCAGCTTCTATCCCAAGAGCTCGGTTTGATGGTGACACCTTCTTGGCCTGGCTTGAAGCTTTTTAGAGTGCTGGTGTTGGACATAAGACTAGTAACTATTGCTTCTATTCCTACTGTATCAGTGTTACAATTACATGTCCCATTATCATTACCCTTACTAGCTGAGTATCATCATAAGAATCATAAGAGAGATTCGAATAGTTTTGCTGTTATTTCTTCTTGCACTATTCTATTTCTACTTTTTCGAGTACTACTTTTTAAGGGCGCTATTCCTCATAAGCGCTACTGGTCCTGTTGTTACTGTAATTGCTACTGTTACCAATGTTGTCATTGTTACTCGTTTAACTGCTGTTTCTATTTTCATTTTTCTAACTATTACAATCGCTATCATTATTGCTATTTGTATTGTCAGTATTACTGCATCTCTTACTACTTGTTATCAAACATATCTTTACTATTACCACCAGCAACTACCACTACGACTACCACAACCACTACCACTACCACTACTCCTACTACTCCTCCTACTCCTCCTCCTACTCCTCTACTACTACTACGACGACTACTACTACTACTACTACTACTACTACGACTACTACTACCACTACTACCACTACTACCACTACTACTACCATTACCACTACCACTACCTCTACCGCGACCTCTACCTCTACCACCACCACCGCCACCACCGCCACCACCGCCACCACCACCACCACCACCACCACCACCACCACCACCACCACCACCACCACCACCACCACGACCACGACGACCACGACGACCACCACGACCACCACGACCACCACGACCACGACCACTACCACCACTATAACTATAACAGTAGTTCTAGGGAGGACGCACCCTCGTGTGCCCTGCGTTTCCTGGGGTTTCCAGCTTGGGGGGTTGGGGGGGGGGGGGGTTGGGAATATCCATGTTGGGAATATCCATGTTGGGAATATCCAGTTGGGAATATCCATGTTGGGGATATCCATGTTGGGAATATCCATGCTGGGGATATCCATGTTGGGAATATACATGTTGGGAATATCTATGTTGGGAATATCCATGTTGGGAATATCCATGTGGGGAATATCCATGTTGCGAATGTACATAGCACTTGCTGCAGGCATCTCCCCCCCGAAATAAAAAGCCGGCCCCAAGCATCCCTCAACCCCTGCCATTCAACTCTTCACCCTCGATCCTAAGACCTTGACCCTCGGCACTCGACCCTTACCATGGAGCCACTGTCTTCCGCAAACTTTGTGTAGAACTTGAGTCCTCACTGCCCTGACATGAAAAAGGTTCGAAGATCTGTGCTTTCCTTCTGAACTCTGAAGTTCGGGGGCCCGACACATACACAAGGACATGCAAGCCCCAAAAAGTACCCTCAAAAATCCTCACAAATTAGCTCAAAACACCTAAAACATGGTATACACAACTTTTCGGTTTTCCTGCCTTTCAAAACAAGGCTCCCGCCTAGGCGAAACACTCATTTTCAAGAAAAAGCGCCCGCCCTTCCAGGGATCAGTGGCCTGTCTTCCTGGTTCCGAAAACCAGAATGAGTCAAAAACCCTCGGTTTTTTTTTACACTTTCCAACTTACCTACACCCAACGCATGCCAACAAAACGCAGGGCACTCCAGCGCGCGTGCTACCTAGTTCTAGTACTCTTACTATTTGCTACCATCACCACTGCTTGCTACTTAGCTAAATATTGTTGCTCCTTCTACTTGGCTACCCCTAGCACTCCCACAGCAATCTGCAAGTCTACATCCCCATTTCTCGTGACCTGTAATGCTTGCACATGGATCCGTGGCCCTAGCATCCGAAGGATTCGCTTTGGGCGCGCACAGCGTCCTTGTTTCGGCAGCTGCGTGTGGACGGACTGTGGGCCGCTTAGGGTGAGGATCCTTTCGGCCTCCATACATTGGGAGTGAGAGGGGGAAGGCTGTTGTCGAAAGAGTTGTCATGAGCCACACCCGAGCCTGCATAAGATTCGAGAGGGTCAAGTATAGATTATATTCAAGTGATCAGATCGAGAGAGGGACAGAGTTATATTCAAGTGATCAGAACGAGAGAGGGACAGAGAGAGCCGTGCGCACGCATGAGAGAGAGAGAGAGTGTGCATGCGTGCGCGCGCGAGAGAGAGAGAGAGAGACAGTGTGTGTATGTGTATGTGTATGTGTATGATGTAATGTGTGAGTGTGAGGGGGGGGGTGGTGTGGGTGGGCGTAGTGGGCGCACAAAGTGTCCTGGTTGCAAAGGATAGCTGCAACTGCAGGGAGCAGTGGCCCGCTCATGAGTGAAAGAGTGAAATGTCGAATTGACAAAGATTGCAACTTGTGTGATGCCGGCCTTCCTCCAACCCCTCGCCAAAAAAGGCGGACGAATCTCGTCCTTCAGAACACCGCCATCACCAGCTGTCATCGCTGCAGGCAGCCGCTGCCTCGGCTGTAGAGAAACAAGCCGGCGTAGTCCAGAGCTTGGAGACCGCAAGCCGTTTATGGAAGCTAAAAATCTCATGCCGCTCTGGGCTCTGGGTCTTCTCCTTCAAGCAATGGCCCCAAACATCTTGAAAGCCGTGCCTGTCGTAACCCAAGGCAAGGACAGTCTTTGCATTCCAAGCCGAGCCCGCGCTAAGGTGGCGAAGAGCGCTGCTGCTGCATGCGGACATGGCAAGCGGAGCCTCTGAGGTACGTAAAGCCCTGCTATCTACAAGAACCAGGTTCGCCTGGAATGTCCCACCTACATGTACCATTGCAAGTTACCATGCAACTGAAAGAGTTGAGAGGGGATTTACGGGTCCAGGTACCTAGGTTGCCTCAGCCTGGTTTGCTTGAATTTCGTGATGGATTTGGCTGGTTCGTTGCTTTTGCAATCCCCCATGTGCAGCTGCTGATTTCGTCACCCTACACCAGTGTTGGTGTGTTGCCGCACGAGTAAGGTCACAACATGTACAGCACCGACATACAGCGAATTGACGTGCAAACCGGCGTACTGAAGATTCGATGAAGTCATAAGGAGCACTTGCGCCAGATGACATCAGCCACAACAGCGCCATCAGTGCTTGCGGTCAGGCTGCTGACTGGGCAGTTGCTTTCGCTGTTCAATACAATGCTATGTTCGTACAAAATATTCTTGAAAGAAATAGACTATTCTTGTATACTCCATGTTTATTTATTTTATCTGCCTTTGCTGTGAGTTGTCTCATGAGCTACAGGGCACAAAATCGGCAGAGGCCTGCTTTAATTAGTTCGACCACGCTGCTCTGTCTTTGCAATCATGGTGGTCGGTTATGCCCTTGCATCGTACTGGGGGGGCAGGAGTTGTGTTCAGCCACGGTAGTTCCTCGAAAGTGCTGGATCTAGGCCGCCCAAAAATCCCTGGCCCAGGGTTCTAAATGGGAGTCTTCTCTCGCGGTGCTGCGATCCATGGGCGCTGTGCCACCAGATCTGTTCCACGGCCACAAAGCTTTCAAAGGTGTAGAAATACGTTGTCTAACACCCACGATCTCCCTTTAAGGGGCAATACACAAACCTGGAATTTGCCTTTGGAGCCCATAGCCACAACATGCTATGCTCATATGCAACATTCGAGCTAAGAACTTTTCTGCCAGTCAAGAATCTGGGACTGCTTCAGGCGGGTAGGATGAGTGAGTCTGATACGAGGCTTATGTAAGCATAATCTCATACTGGTTGTAAGGGACGATATACTGGTTGCAACTGCCAACCTGAGACATCCTTAGCAAGAATGCCACAGCCACACAGCCCAGAGAACGATATGCCAAATCAGCACCTGCAACGAGCATGTGTAGTTCAACGGCATCAGATTCACAGCAAATTTGGTTTTCCCATTTGACACCGTCTAGTTTCCAGTTGCAAGTCTTTTTTTCTAGCTGCGCCTGTGAACAAATTCAGGTTTTCCTTCACAGCCGCTGGCGCCGCCTGCGCGCAGGCCAATGCCTGGGAGGTGGCCCTGGCGCTGAGCGACGCACGCAGGCTGTAATATGAGGGGTCGAAAGATGCTGAAAGATGGCCCAGGGTTCTGGCCTGAAATGATGGCAGGCGGCCGAGCATGTGCATTCAGGGCGGATGTGTGGATTTGGGGGGGGGAGCTTAGGCTTAGAGTGATCCAAACATCGCCAGGTGCCGCTTGAAGCTCTCTTCTATGAGCTTCTCGGCCATCAGCTTGGTGGCGCCTCAGAAATTTGGCTGATTGCAATGGTCTGTATTGCAGCAAGGATGGGGGTTTTGCTCACGCGACATGTGCACATTTAGACGTCGGGACTGTCGTGAATACCCTACACGCTGTACAGCGCGAACCCAGATTCTAGGGCTCGAAGACTCGAAGGTTACCATTCTGCAACATCCTTCCTTGAGGTTTCAGTGCGGCCATCAGCGCTGCCGCAAAGCAAAGCCTGTGGCAGCTGCCGCTGGATCTGTGCCATGTCCCAGATGCGTGATACTTGCATCCGATTCCTCCACCGGTATACAGTGCGAAGATGAGGTTCCGGAGGTTACTGCAGGCGATGGCTGCCTGTGGTGTGGCGTGTGTGTGTGTGCGCGCGCGCACTTTTTTTTACTTTGGTCCAATAGGCAAGGCGTGGGAACTTCGAAGGAATTGAATCCAGCTTGAAGATCCTCAGGCTCGGTGCTGCTGCAAAGCCCAGCGGCGCTATGTACAGAATCTGAGCTGCAAGAGTCATAGTAGAGGCTGAGAGTCTGTATCTGGAGTATGTAGTGGCAAGGTTGCTTCTGCAGGATGCATTTCGGGTCGGTTTGTTCTAAACCCTTGGGGCGGGCTAGGGCATGCTTTGTTCTTGGCGTGCACAAGCTGCCAAGTCCTGGTGGAAGCTTGCGTGTTTGAGCCTAAGCTTCGAAGAGTCCCCGTTTGGTCCTGGTCGGCCGGTGGTGCTGCCAGGAGCTGCCATCGATGCCTGTGATCGTGCCGGCTTCCCCTGGCATGCTCAGGCCTACTAGTGCAGAGTGTGTGTGTGTGTGTTTGCCCTCGATTGACTCCATTGCGGACTGGGCCAATTGAACTTGGGCTTGCCACGGGCGTTTTTGGTCATTTGTACATCTCGGCATCTCTCGACTATGACTAGGCCGTACTTGTCGACTCCGAGCTGAACGGAGCATCGCTGGCAGCAACTTCATTTTCGGGATCGGAGCAGATGCGATTCAGGGTTCAACCTGTCTAGGAGCTGATGTTGGGGTCCGTCATGGCATGGGGCTTCTGAATCATGAAACAAACCAAGATGGTCAGAGGGCTGTTGTTTCTCAAAACTTGAGCCCAGAGAGCCGTTTTCCAAGTGTGAGAGTCCAAAGCAGAGTCAAGGCCGGAAGTGACCCCGCTTCCTTTTGCTGGGTGCTGGCCAGTCACTTGGCAGGAAAAGATGTGTAGCCACTGGCGAACACCTTGGATGGTTCAGAAACTGCGAGCCACGACAGGCTTCATGGTGGAAGGTGTGTGTGGAAATATCGAGAGTGAAAGTGTGTGGCACATGTTGACTTATTGCAATGAGAAGGACTTGGTGTTAACGACCCGGAAGTCATTCACGGTGCGCTGGCAGAAGCTGCGTCTGCTCAGAAGCAGCATTTGCCACTCGGCTGCGTCCACTTGCTAGGTTCGCTGGCTTCGACAGCCAATGAGCATCCATAAGAAGCGCTTAAGAAAGTAGTGCCCTATCAAGTTGCGCCTGAAGCTTGGTCGTGCGAAGTGCCTAACCTCGCCCTGCAGTCACTGCGTGCTGCGGTGGCCAGTTGTGCAATAGCGATAGCGGTCGAGTTCCTCAAGTGAAAATCTAAAATGGATATCCATTGGAATCATTCGTATCGTTTGGCCGGTTTAATTTCTGTAGGATGTGGGCATGAGCCCTCTAAAAAGGCTCGTCAACTCCTTGCAGCACCAGCTGTGCTGCTTCTGGCCAAGGAACGCTGTGGATGGTTTGCCCTTGCTTTTATGGTCCTGCACAATGCCTCGTGGTGGCAAAGAGGCCGCTTGAAGGGAACCCCGAACATACCCTCGGCACTTGGCACTGTTACCTCCAAAGTCTCGTGGGCCAAGAGAGGCTTTGGTATTCCAGGCCGAGGGGTCGGTTTGATTTTGCCCCTGCCTGCTGGAATGCCAGTCTGCCTTCATTATTCCATGATCCTCCTCGAGGAAGCAGAGCATCTGGAAAGAGGATTATATATAAGCAGGTCGTGGAAGGTTTAGTTGACTTGTCTTCGATCCAGCTGCCCAGGCTTGGCGCGACAAATAGTTTGTTCCAGTTGAGCCTCGCGCAAGAGGTGCCTCGGGGTGGGGTGGGGGGGGGGAGTAAACGCAGACATACGCAGACACTCTTTGTGGCAAAAGCTCGGATTTTTTTTGAACTGCCTCGCAGGCTCTTGCAAGCAGACCCATAACGTGTGTCGCCAGGTGTTGCGGCGTCGGGCAGCACTTTCGTCCGATGATCTGCTCCTTGCAGCTTGGGGCCACCTGGCCACAAGTCACAAGTCCATGACTACAGGCTTACTTCGTGAGCCTCGCCTGGCATGTCCCAGAGTTGCACTGTCACCTCATGTTGGAGCATCTGTACTTCTCACATGTCACCACATCATTCCGAACCTTCATGGCCTGGCATCTTGTTTTAGTTTTCAAGGCGCGCCTCCTGTGCCGCAAGTATTCGCTGCTTGGAGGCGCTTTGGGGCAGGTTCGCGCCAGTGCAGCAGAGCTAGGAAAACTCAAGCCGGCGTTGCTAGTTCGCAGACGATGCGTGTTTGTATCTCGCTTCACTCTTCTAAGGCAGAGCTTCAGAGCGAGATGACCCACAGGCTAGAGCGAGCTTGGGCTGACAAAGCTGATAGGGTCCAGGTTGAAGTTCTGAGGTAGATCTCAGGGGCCTGCCTTCTATATACCTACGGCCTTCGATTAACATCAGGTACTTAATACACCGACTCCGAGCTGTGGCTCCGAGTTTTGGAGAAGCAGTGCAGCGGAAACCGAGCCCCCCGAGCCCTAACTTTGCATTCTCACAAGCTGCAAGTTGTAATATAGTATAATCTATAGTATAATCTATATAGTACAATCTATTAAAATATGTAATATAGTAATCGTATAAAATTTAGTATAATATATAGTATGATTTATAGTATAATATACCGTATAATTTATAGTATATGATATATAGTATATAATATAGTATAATATAGCCTTATCTAGAAAATATAGTAAATATATTCTAGCATAGTATTCCACAAGGACCCGACTCAGCCGAGCTCGGGGAGTCCTTCACCAAGGCTGGCGGTGAAATGCAGACGGTGCCTCTTTAATTGGAACCCGATGCATTGCAATTTTAGAGTCGCAAAAGCACGACTTACAAATTTTTCTACGGTACTTGGTTCCAGCTCCATACCTCGCAGCCAATTCGCAGGATCTCCTGGGCGTGGCTTGTGCCTCTGCAGCTGCCGGTTGTTTGAGGTGGGCTGGAACTGGGGTTCTGCTTCTGCGGCCTGCGGTTGCAGACCTGGGAACTCGGCAACTCGAGGGTTACGAAGCCAGCGCGCAATCTGCTCGTGATTTGTGAAGGCCCGCGGCCTGATATTATGAGGGTTGACGTCTTAAAGTCGTAAAGTATCTCTTCGTGCTCCGATGAGCCAGCAACAAGCCGACTGCTGCACAGCCTGGCAGAATCATTCACGCTCATTCAAGTCCTTCATGCAGGCTACCAGGCGATGGCCCAGGAAAACCGGTACTTACTGTACTGAAGAACAGTATACACCGGTACGTGAGTATCTGCATCTTGCGGGGCTGGCTGCCCTTGCTGCAGTTATTGGGGATGTTACAAGGTATCGTAATCCTTGGGGGAGTGTGAGGTCGCTTCCCACTCGCTATACCCCAAGTCCTCACCAGCTTTCCTTCATGAGTTATGTGGCCGAAGTCGTTCCGCGCACGGCATGGCGCTGAGGTCTTGTGTTCTTATCGATGCATCGTGTTGTAGACTCTACATGACTCCTAGACTGCAGTCTGCACATGTCTACTCTCATTGACCGGGACCTGCCCAGCGCTGCCTTCTCCGCGGCGGCGCGTCGCTGGTTGCGAACCCGAGCTGCAGTCCGGGCCGCGAGGCCCGGTGCGGCATGTGACATATGGAGGGTTTCATGCGCGGGTTGCAGCAGCCCAGACTTGAAGACCCGAAGCCGGCTCCAGCTGAAGTCATGGGAGTCCCGCTTTGAAGTTTCGGAGGCTTGGAGGTTGCACTCTCTCGCAACCCAAATGGTTGAGACAAGCGCGCAGCAGTGTGTGGGCCACTTCATGGGGCGCCTGCAGCAGCCAAACCTTCGAACTTGGTCCCAACAAGAACACGCTTGGAATCTCTATATACCCTGAGCACCAGGGCTTGTCTCTCGACATCTCCAGCCGTGGCCCCTCGCCGGTCGGCCCCAGGCGAGCCGCCGCAGGTGAGAAACTCAGCTCCAGCTCAAAGCTCCAACAAAAGTGCCAGTAGCATCTGCTGGTCGCTGGGCGAGTCTTGTAGGTCTTGAAATGGTGCAGGTCTAGCGGGTGGCATCTTTAGGCACTAGACCAAGAGCAGCACCAGCAGCAGCCTTCTGAGTTGGTGTAGCGCTGCAGCCTGCACCTGATGTCTGCACTGCGTGTCTGCATGCCAGCAGCGATTTTCAGGGGCGGACAAGGTATCTCATCCACTCGCCTAGCCAACTCCTCTTACAGCCATGTCCTTCTGGGAGATTGAGGGCATGAAGGCTGGCAGGGCAAGGGTTGCAATTTCTGTCGCCCCTTACATGGAGCAGCCATATGACACGCCCCCCCCCCCCCCCCCCCCCCCCCCCCCCCCCCCCCCCCCCCCCCCCAAAAGAAGAAATCTAAACCTGGGCTTGCTGCAACGACCTGCTGAGAGCCTCAGTTCCCGAAATTTTCGTGAAAGCAATCATCAGGTGCAGCGGGCGCGTTTGTTGGATGAAGAAGCTTTGCTCCTCGGTTTGGGCTTTGTTTTCGCTGCAGGCCGGCGTCGTGACCGGCGACGTCGCCTGGAACCTGTTGCAACATGCCACGCGGCTGTCGTAGAGGGATCGGCGTTCGTGCTGTTGTCGCGAATCATGTGGTGAAGATAGCCTTCCTGCAAGAACAATCCACGCAGGTCCCCATTTGTTGTACTGAACGGCTGCCGAGAAGTTGAACAGCTGAATGCAGCCTGAGCTGCGGCAGCTCAGGCGAAGAAAGAAGGATATGCGATTCCGGCTTTCAACTGCACGAGCACGAGCACCATCAACTCCGTCCTGGAAGCTGCCAAGGAGCTTTTCTGTGAGTGAATCTGACATGGTCCGAGACTGGACGGCCCCTCCCAGCCCAAAGCAGGAGCTTGGCCGGCCTTGCATGGTCCAATTCTCCGAGGGTGGCTCCGCTTTCTTGGCCGCCTGGATGTCAGGAGCCAGGGATTTCGGGTTGTAATATTATGAAGAACCAAGGATGCAAGAGAGTGTTTGGTGGCGTTCGTGGGCCACGTTATATTCTGCAGCGCCGGAGGGTGAGGCAGAATTTCATGCCCTAGACAACCTTCCCTGGCCTCAGAATTATCGCATTCAAGGCTGGCAAGTCGCTGCCCAACGAGAAGGGAAAGCTTCAGGCTCGGATCCTGGGTTTGGTGTCTGGGTCTGGGTGGCCAGTACACACACATACAGCACATACACATTCACATTCGAGAAGACCTCCGAGGCCTCCATTCTTGGGGCTGTGGCTGGTGCGCACTTCGTGCGTGCGGTGGCGCCCGCCTACGGCAACTCGGACTTGGCGCCAGAGCCGCCAGAGGTGGTGAGTGGATTTTTGATAAGGGAGCTGTGTGTAAGCGTCTGCTTGTGCAGAAGCACGCGTCTTCACAGGATTTCTCAGGGCCACGTCTACGGTCGTGTTTTTTCAGCCTCTTCGGCTTTGAGGTCTTCCGGTACTGGTGCATTCTGACCACTGCGCCAAGAAGCTGTGTCCTGGCAGACATTGAGCAGAAGGTGCGCAAACACGTGCTCCGCGGTGAAGTACGGTGTCGCATAGTGTCACTGCAGGCTCCCTTGGTTCGATGGCATGCTCGACGCCGACGAGGCATACTTTAAGCCACTGCGCCGCATTTCGGAGCCAACGGGCGCCTGTGCTGTGGTGACAGTGTTCCTCAAACGAACCATCGGAAAGTCTCTCGGAGTCTGTTGTCGTCGTACTCATTCTGTTGATTGAAGGGTACACTATAACCCTCAGAAACCCATCTGACTCGCAAGTCCGCCTCATTACATCCCATTGGCTTGTGTGTCCGAAGCAGTCCGCCGCTGGTGACTGTCAGGCAACACGGAGAGCCTCTGTTTTCCTCGCACATGCTCGACCTCTCGGAGGCCCGGCGCGCCGCTGCCAAGACGGACCTAGGAGGTTCTTGTTGTGGATGCGTCTGGCGCGTTTGTGATTTTAGACATGCTGTTGGGGTCCCAACGCAGTAGGTTGTCAATATACGACTGACCAGGGTCCGCAAGTGGGAGTGGTCGTATCTCAACGTGTGCAGGGAAGCGAGATCAAGCCCTGAGCTTCCAGGAACCGGACGAGGAGAACATCGAGATCTGTGCCAAGTACCTGATCCGCGGCAGCACTCAGCTGTCTCTTGGAAGATCCCAAGCTGGGCCTGTTGACCTCCGTCTCAGCTGTCCTTACACTGTGAATGCTCACACCCCCCATGCTAGATGAGCACAAACTCTTTTCTAGAATAGGCAGCTGAAGCCTGCAGCTGTCAGCACACCAAGCGAAAGCACACCAAGCGCCTCGAAGGAAGAGAATGGCGCCCATGAACCTCATCCTAGAGATGGAGCCGCCCAGCGTAAATTCTGAGGGGCATAAGCCCCAAGTCAAGCCAGCGCTCGTGTTGTTGATTTCTTCCTACCGTCGGAAGCTGCGCAACATAAGCACCTCGACAGTGGCCCACGACAAGGATTGGCATCACTGGTGGTGTTGAAGATGGCGTGGACAATACCGGCATGGCCAAGGATCCCTGCAATATCGTCTGGGTGAATTTCTGAATGAAGGATGCTGCAAGATTCCAGAGCGTAGGGCCAGGAGAGCGTCTGGCGGCTGGCGTATGCGTTTGCAGGGGTTCAGCGTGTTTTGAGCATTTGTTTTGTCTGGGTGGCACGGTTCTAGCTGCAGCCGAAGTGGGCCCTACATGGCCACTCGCAACACCCAGCAGGAGAAGCTTTACTCGACCCCGGAGGACGTCTTCAAGGTAGGTGCTGTGTGTCGTGAGATGTCGTGAGTGCCTTTGGGGTTTGCTCGTGAGCCAACATGCAGCTCTCTCCATCCCAGCTCGGCGCCCATACTGTGGCCTCCCCCCCACGCATCCACATCATTCCCCGGCAGGTGTACCAGGGCCTTAGCCCCATCTCCGAGAAGTTCACCATTGCGGCAGCTTTCGGCAACGTGCACGGCGTGTACAAGGCCGGGCTTGCAGGTGTGGGACGCCGCTTTGCAGGATTTCTTTCTGCAGCGATTCTTTCCGAAGTCTGGAAAGGTTACGTATTGCTTGAGTCCCACAGTTTGGGTTCTCGGCCTTGGCATCCGAAGATGTAGGCAGCCTTCATCCGCAGTGCGCATGCGAGAGACATCAGGCTGGCAACGTCGTGCTCAAGCCGGAGCTGCGCATTGCCAGCAAAACAGCCTCGGATAGACAGGTTGTCATAATGATTGCTACATGCTGTTCGGCTTAAGTGACTACATGCGATCTAGGAGGTGCACCGCAGCAAATAACACCGAGGCTGAATGACATGCAGGCATATGCCAGCGAGCAGCTCAAGGCAAGCTTGGCGAGTGGACTCCTCCTTTGGCATGGAGCAACCTGCTGGTATTTGACGATGGTTGGGGGGGTTCTGCCTTGGACACCGAACCGCATTGCCTGCAACAAAGAGCACACTGCTGAGTGCACATTTGCCGACTGTAGCCACAACCACGATGCAGGCCGCTGGTAAGGACATCCCGAAACCGCTCAACTTTGTGCCTGGCCTGTAATTAGGGAGTGTTTCTAAGGGGGGTTTTTGGTGGGTTTCCTGGGGTTAGGGTCATGGGGTTCGTACGTGGAGGCTAAGGAAGTCGATGGCGCAACCTGGAGGGGCGCGTGCACATGCGCCCGAGACGTCGGAATCGATGACCCGTGCACATTCCGCATCTTCAACGCCGACCACCTCGCTGTTCTCCGGTTCTCGGGGCGCTCTCGCCTATAACGGCTTTGGGCTGTAATAGGATGGCATTCGCATCGCCGCAGGTGACGAATCGCACTCTCGCCTTGGTTCCGTGCACCTTTTCAGGCTTGAACTTAGCTACTCGCAAAAAAAGGTGGCAGGGACACTTTCAGGCCTTTCGTTGGATGGGTTCGCTGCACGCACCGGTCCCTGGCAAGGGAATTTACTGCTCGCACGTTCCAGGCAACCGTTTCTTGTGGGTCACGAGCGCATTCCCCCTAGAGTCTTGGGGCCCTTGATATTCCTGGCTTGGCCCTGGTCCTCACACTTGCTTGGAACATCTTGGAATGTTGCAGTGCTGTTGCAAGATGCTTCATGATCTTTGCTCGCTGAGGTCTTCCATGGCGGTTCTGGCTCCGAGAAAGAGAAAATCGAGACGGCCCTCAACGCCGGCGTTGTGCCGCCCGGCCTCCGATTTGAAGGGGTGGCAGAGGCATGCGGAGGAAGCCTGATAGGTCGATTAGGGCGCCTGTGCTTGCAGAACTCTTGTCACCCAGGAAGATGAACGTCGATACCGACACCCAGTGGGCGTACTGGGAAGGCTATCAGTTTCCAGAAAGCAGATCTCAGCCCCTGCTAGACTCAGATATGCCGGGGCCACTGCGGTGTGCTGCATACATGGGCGTCAATGAAGCACCGGTAGTAAACAGTCAGTTGCCGGCAATTTCCGTTTGTCTGCGTCGGTGACATTGACGAGGCCTCCTGAAGTTCTACAAGGCCAAAGAAGGCTACCTGCAGGGCCAGATTGGCAACCCGGAGGCGGGGGCCTCCGCAGGGGCTGCCAGCAGGAAATTCAGACCGTGGTCTCCAGGCTTGAGTTGAATCTTCTGAGCACGTTGCAAGCAGTTGCCCACAATTTGAAGAGCAGTGCCAGGGTGAGGACAAGCCGAACAAGTGCCTGAGCTGTTACGAAGGGATGTGGAATACTTTAAGCTTTGTCGGTCTTGATCGGTCAGATGGACATTTGCACGCGCTGACCTTGTTGGCACACTGGTCATTATAGCTCACTAGCCTTAGGAAATAGTTTGAAATTTCTGTATTTCTGTGGCAAGTGTGCAATAAGTCAGTCGAGGCAGGTCTGTAAAGCTTTACACAGCACCCCGAGCAAGCGCAAGGTTTGAGGCCGAACGTATTATCGGCCATGTAATGTGGTGGCGCAAAGAGGGACACGCAGAGGGTGAGAGAGAGAGAGAGAAAGAGAACAAAAAGAAGCACATAAAGACCATAGAACCTGCGCTTGGGGAGGAGAAAGGACAAGAGGACCCGACCAGTACCCGACCTGAGACATGAAACGATGCGACGATACATCACGAAGATAGGACACAAGTGCGCGACTCGAAGTCGCGATAAACGGACACGAATGCAAGTGGACACTACATGCAGAGTAGAGTTCAGGCGCCCGAAATGGGACTGCCTAAGCGCAGGCGAGGTTGCGAGGATTCGCGATCGGATGCGGGTGGATGCGGGCAGGGGTCTAGCCACTCTGCCCAGCTTTGCCGAAGCCCCGAGCTAGAAATACTTGGTCAGAAGAGAAAGCTGCTCCATGCTTGAGGGTCATCCTGCAAAAAGGCTAAGACGAGTTTCTGCCGGTGGTTCTCACTGAGCCTTTAACCTCATCTAGGCATCCAAACCACCACAGCTGAGGAGCTACTACGACCCTCGTAAGTGGATCCGCGAATGCGAGCTGACCATGGTGAAGCGTGTCAAGGACGACGACGCGTTCCACACTTATTCAGTCAGTTGGTGTGCCCGAAAAGTCTTGCACATCTTGATTACATCCTGTGTCCGGAGCCTGAAACGACAGCCGCAAAGCCATCTGCTAGCCCTCAGGGGCACGTGCCCTGCGCTTCATGTCGCTTTGTGACTGGCCGAGTAATTTACATCCGAGGCGGATTGCAGCAATGGGAGGGAGAGGGGTGATGGGGGAACAGTGAACCATTGGCGGAGCAAGCGCCGCTTGCGAGCACAAGCAGCCTGATGGAAGTCTAGGTTTTCGGTTAATAATTAAAGCGAAGTGCATTCCAAACGCGTAGGAGAGCTGTGCTGACCTCAAGAACGAGAACAAGTGATCGGCCAAGATCTCTGGACTGCGTGCCACGGCCATGTCTCAAAGACGTAGTCATTGTGCAGGATGTCCATCACCCTGTTAGGGAGTTTCACAGACCACGCGAGCTTAGAGACTCGCCTTGCAGCTGCACTTGGTGGCATTGCTGGGGAGCGACCGAATACAAGTCAAGGTAACCCATCACGGCTCCAAGCATGATGATGTTGGGGGGAAGCCGCTCTTGATCTGGCAGCCTTTGCTGCCTCAGCATTGTCATTCACATTCCTGTTAAAACGAGTTTTGGTGCTTGAAGGGGGGGCCGGGCCCATGCGGATCCTGCAGTGTCTTCTGAGCAAGGTTGCAGGCACAAAGTTCAGTGTGTTTGTGGAACTTAGCGGGCTCTACGTTGCTGCGTGGCTTCAGATACCCCTTGTTGAGCTCCCGACCTAGCGCGAGCAGAAAGCACGAGTGTGCACACTGCGCGTGGCTGGATCACATCGCTTCTCCATTGCGAATTGAACCCAAGCGCGGAAAATGACGAGACATGGCAAGTGCAACCCCATGGAAGTGGGAGCAATCGTGTTTTGTGGCCAACAAGCACCCCAAGCTGCACCCATGACCACACCAAAACTGAAGGTTCTGCTGGACCTCTCTGAGACGGCGTGCATCCTCAAGCCTTCAGGCTACGTGCGAGTCAGAACTCTTACAGCTGAGAACTTAGGAAAGATGGCTTCTTCAATTTCCTGGGAAGTTCCAGCTTGTGGTATTCACGAGCAGCAAAGCAGCTCTTGCAGGTTGGGAGGTCTACGACGACAATGCTGACCGTCAGCTGGTAGACTTTGCGCCCAGACCGAAGAAGCGACAGTCAGCTAGAGTTGGAATGAATGGGAAGCAACAAAATGTGCGCAATGCAATTATGGCAGCATGCCCCAGTATCCGATGAGCCCCAGACCAGGGCACGAACACCGTACACTTCATGTGCATTGCTTTGTCTTTTTCATGTTCTCTCTGCTCACAAGACCTGCTGCAGCAACCGTCCCATCGAAACACGCAAGGTCCGCCGACGATTTGGTTGTCGAATTTCTAGCGACGTCAGGCGAGGCCGGCATAGAGGACGTGAAGGACTTGGGCTGTCAGGATTTGCGATCGCCTCAAGGAAAATTACATGCGGGTAGTTCCACTTCCTTGTATCAGATTCTGTTGCGGGTGTATGGTGGGGCATGTTCAGGCCACCCCCATGCTTTCCTGAAACGGAGGTGCCGATATGGATTCATTCATCGCCTGGATGTGCCCAGCTCGGGACTGATTCTTGACAAATGGGGAGTGAACGAGGAACGTTTTGTTACTTGAAGACGCACAAATAAAAAAGGAATTGAACCGTGACCCCGCTTGGGCGGTTGTCATACTTGTCCTAGCACGTGGCCAAGAAGCCATGCGGCTTGACGGCTTGACGGCTTGACAATCAGAACATGTGCATTCGGCGATGTAGAGACTGCGTTCACAGTGTAGGCCACAATTCTTGACCATTTTCGACCTTGTCTTTCCAGGGTCATTGTTGTATTGAATTCTTCGTCTTGACCATCGCGTGTGTGCGTGTGAGCTGTGCAAGGATCCTTGCAGCAAAGACGCCCCCAGGCTGAAAGTATCAGCCTTTGGGGGGGGGGGGGGGTTGGGTGTTCGCGGGCTTGGTCGGCATTCGGGAATTGGAGCAATTTAAGGCAATCTTCTCAGAAGATGTGGTCGAAGCCCTTGGGCGAAATTCACAAGTCTTAGTCGGGCTCCATAGCTGGAAGCTGCCAGCGTACCGTTGTTTCGTATTCTTCACCTACCAGGTGGCGATCCGCGAAAAAGTGTGTTTAAGTCATGTCTATATAGGCTTGGTTCGGCAGATTCTTTCACCTGATCACCTGCCCGCGGCACCTGTGCTTCATGAGGCATGCATCCTACTACGGTCTCCACTTTCAGCTGGCAGCAGGCCAGATATCACGGAGATACTTGCTGCTCCTGGACTGAATCCTACAACATGGCCCAGACGATACGATGATTGAGCATTCGTGGCGGAGAGCAGCAAGAGAGGCCATCTGCGTGCTTCGTGCAGACTTGTGGATTCAGAGAGCTGAGGCTTTGCCACGGCTTTGTCGCCAAAGGTCGCGCGCGTTGCTGGGATGTCTTCTCGTGTCTTCTCCACATATCTCCAGCCTGATCCCGAGTGAAGTGCAATCCCTTAAAATCATCCCAGCTGTATCCTGGCAGGCGCCGTCCTGTTCCTCTCTCCCTTCCCTTCTCTCTTCGCTATCCCTTTGTTCCTCTTCCCTCTCCAAGTCCCCAGGGTTTGCGTTATCCAGTGTCTTCACGTTGACACGCCGCGTTGATGCATGCCAAGGCCATAGGCAGAGAACTACCCTGCAAGTACCGGATTCCTGTATCGAGATTTTTTGCCTGGAGGTAGACTTAGAGACCCTGAGTCCCTCTTGCGGTACAGTAGCTTCAAACAGCTTGGCGTGCTTGGTGTGGTACACGTTCAGAGGAATAGCCTTTTTATACATAAACAAAGTAAATAAATTTGAGTATAAACTTAAATATAAAAACAAATATGAAGCAATAAATAAATAAATAAACATGGTGCATATACATATACATATATATATATATATATACATATGTATATATATGTGTGTGTATACATATATATATATACTGTATAGATGAATATAGATATACATATATATTTGTATAGCGCAGGTATATAAGTTTAATACAGTCTATACTATACCCATTTTGGTGGGCTTCTGGGCCCGGCACCATCCTCACCATCCTCACCGCTGCAGAGCGCCGTGTCCTGACCGCGGCTGTCGCCTGGCGACGCCAGGGCGAGGCCTCAGTACCCGCAAGGGAAAGGGGGGGCGCTTTGAGAGGCTTAGAAAGGCTTTGGAGCGCGTTTTTTTTACAGCTTCAGTGGCATAACGTGTCTAGATACGCATTGACGCACAATAGTGCTCTCCGGGTTGGGTGGCTTCGATTAAAGTCCAGCAAGTACGAAAGGCGGCAGCCGCACACAGCACCGCGCGTGTGAAGGGTTCAGCACCGCTTACAGAGCTCTCGAAAGATTTTTGGCCGTCGAAGGGCTGCGAAGGGTTTTTGGGCTGCAGCGAAGGCAGAGACTCACTCGCTGGACAGGTCAAGTGGCACTTGGGGTTTCAGGTTCAACTGCTGATGCTTTTGAGGGTGTTTCGAGTTTGGGAGGTTAGGGCCAGCGCGTACGGAACCTCGACAAGCATCGATGAGCCTTCGCTCTATCAAAGCTTCTTCCTTGGTTCAGTACCAATAATCATTCCTCTAATACTGCTGCGCCACTACATGAAACCCATGTAGTCAGGCACCATCCCCCCCCATGACTTGCGAGTCGGAGAGGGTGGAAGGGATGGGGGACGTGGGGGATTCGGCGGACGCCTTGGCATCGTAAGAGGAAGCGGCGCGAGATTAGAAGAGGGTGTTTCGAGGAGTGTGGTGAAAGTCCGAGAGCAAACGGCTCCCAAAACCCTAAACCCTAAACCCTAAATAAGGTGACCGGTGCCGACGGTGGATGGAGGGCCCCATGGAGGGCGGCTCCCTAGTCTAAGGGGTATCCGACACGGTTACTCCGATGTTCCGCTTCTACTTGAGTTCTTGGGCGTTTCGGTTGCAAGGCCTGGGTTGCGTATGAGGATTCTTAGGTTTCTGTCACACCCAGTGTGGAGCTGAAAATTGCACCGAGCAGATTGCAGTTCCCATGTGTTGATGACCGGGGCTCATATACGCAGCTGAAGTTTCTATTGAGGTGTCTGGTGTCGCTTGGTTTGACAAGTGCAAACATGGATTCTTCGATGCTGGCGCCAAACGCTCTTACATGTTGGCTGCCGGGATAGGAAGGCATGTGCGCGAGGACTCAGCTGTACCTGTTATTGGACGGTGTCGTGGTGCTCTGCCTGCCTCCTTACGCCATCATTGACACGTACATCAGTGGGGCAGCTCAAGATTATGCAGGAAGCTATGCCCATACATATCTCTTGAAACACGAGCCCAGCAGCTAACGATCCTGCGGCACGTAAGCAGACGATTAGCAAGACCCGAAGCAACCTTAGCATCCCAGCTACACTTTAAAGGGAAGGAGTGGCAGGAGATTTGAAACGAGGCTACAATATGCTGCAGTTGCTGGTCGCAGGCGGAGCCCTCCACAGCTGGTGGCCGCGGGCGGCCGAGTTTGGCAGCCCTACGCCGTGGCGCACACGGGGTGGCACAGGCCCCTTTTATTCATGGGACACACATGACACACATGGGTTTCAGATAGAGGTCGGAGTGATGATGCTTGCGCCATCTTGTCGTGGTGCACCATGGGATTGCAGCAGCGGCCGCAGTGAAGGTCGGGGCCGTCAGCCGGCTGGCGCTGCGCATTGCAACAGGTCGCCGGCACCAGCTCAGGAGCTGCTCGGCTGGTTTGTGTGAAGGGATCATAATAGTTTAGGGGTTTAGGGTTTAGGGTTTAGGGTTTAGGGTTTAATAAGGGATCGGGAACCGGGCGCAAGATTTTCTCCCAGTTTGGGCAGCAGCCACCAGCTGCTGAGAGCAGGGCATGCCTCGGGCTTTCATGGATGTTGCTTCGCGATTCTTGGTTTGCATGGTAAGCGCTTGACAGGATGCAGTCACTTGGCTTACTTGGTTCTTTAGACTAAGTCTCCCAAACTCGTCCAAGCTACTTGAACCGTACTTGCCAAGATTCCAAGGTCGGAGATGTTCGAAGATTGTCAGCTTGATGTGAGCTGTCGCTGTGCATATGCTGCACAGCCCATTTCCAAGCTTCCAACCACCATGAGAACCATCCACAAGATGTGAGGATGATCGCGGTAGACTTTATAAATCACGGACCCTCGCCAAGCATGGCTGGTTGAGCAGGGTTCTCATATTTCTACATAAGGCTTGGTGGAAAGAAAAATACGATTGCTACTTGCAAAAAATTGTCAGGGCCTCAGTTTTGAAGTCCAGGTCAGCTCGCGCACATCGGCCATCCCGTCGTTCGAGCAGCTTTGCCGAAGTCTGTAGTTTCATGCGATTAACGTGATCTTGAGGCTAATGTTGATTGAAAGACCATTTGTTTACAGTGCAGCTTGAATGCAATCTCACGTTTTGGTATGGCACCGCACACGATCATTATTCTGACCCAATTGCATTGCTTTTCACACATACACACACGCGCACGCGCACGCGCGCACACACACACACACACACACGTGCCGCCACGCACGCATGCTCGCACGTGCGCCAGCCCGCGCGCGCCTGTATATGTATAAAAAATAATAAATTAAAAAATGAATATATATATATATATATATTTATTTATTTATTTGCTTATGTCTTTACACACAGACACATGCACACACACACACACACATATGAGCATGCGGAATCGTTGTTCGACTTGTCTTACGCAGCATTTTGTTCGACGACTAGCCGCCACTGCATGTGCGAGTCTGGAGCACGTCCCACATGAACCTAGGACGCGCTTTACTCCAGCCAGTGGTCGTTCACGGCTGATGCCGAGCTTTGTCAAAGGAACTGTTTGCATCGCTCAGGCGACAGGGATGTATTTCAGAAACGATTGCAAACTGGGATGGAGGTTCTCCGCAAGGTCATGCAATTGCGACACGAACAGCATAGACTGCAGACTTCTGAGGGCAAGTGCCTGGGTTAGAAAACCATGCCCATGCAAAGCCGAAAGTTCGCACAGCAGGCCTTGGCTTCCGCGACGAGCAAGGAAAGCTGCGCCACTCTGCTTGAATGTCTCGGCGCTCTTTATGCACTCTTTATGCCGAGCTGGAGTTACAAGGGCTAGAGCTCATGCATGCAAAGACATGGAGCGAGTAGGATGTAGGGTGAGAGAGACCAGCTGCGAATCGGGGCTTTGAGCTCATAATTCCTTCGAATTACTTGTCTTTCTTTGGTACAGCCTGACATCTCTGACCGATGTAGTGAGGTGTCGAGCGCTTTAGGCCGTCACGAGCATGCAAGTCTGCAGGGAGCGCATGCCCGTTTGAACTTTGAATTCGTGTGCTGAACCGCTGGGCGGTAAGAGACGCGAGACAATGTTGTTGCTTGGTTGCCTTGCTGTGTCAGGAGATGCCCGTGCTCCACTGCCTGATGACTTGCGAGAGTGCTTGGATCGAGTGAGACTGCTGCGAGAGTGGCCGGCAAACAGAGTCGCAGCTTGAGCCCGGGCACAACTCTGCCACTGCCTTCTTGATAGCCAGGATGACAGGGTATTGAACCTCGTGAGTCTGGGAGTAGGACAAGACGATTGCTACTCAAACCACCAATCACATTGCAGCTAACTGGTTTACAAACTAAGGAGCAAAACCGAACAGTCAGAAGCAAAACAACTTGTGGTTCATGGAGGGCTGTCTGGATGTCCTGGAGCATTCAGCCGTACATTCAGCCTTTGAGAGCTTCACTTGTCGGAAGCTTTCTGTTTCGGCCACGGTAAAGCATGGTAAAGAAATAAGTTTTACTAAGGAGAAGAACGAACTGCTACTGCTTGCGGGCAATACAACCGCGAAGGGGTGTCCATCATTCTCACCTTTCAAGATGCCCATTAAAACAGATAAGTGCATCTCGAACGCCAGCGTTGTAAGAATGTGCGAAGTCCTGCAAATGGTTAGAAGATGCGTCGGATACCATGTTGGCGTGCAGGCCTTCCTTGAGTTTGCCTCCGCCAGCGCACGACGACGGGCACACTCAAAGCCAGCGGGAGGGCCAATGTCTAATAGAGGGGTCGGAATAATTACGAGAGAGAGAGAGAGATTCCCAGGTCCACCCAACAGAGGCATCTGGGAAAGCACGTTTTTGCTGGGCACTTCGTTCTGGGGGAACCGCACTTCGTATATCGCAGTCTTGGTTGCTTATGTTTCCCATCTCATGGCTGATCGAGTTCCACCCTGTTTTCGTACCCCCACTGCAACACACAGGGGGGTCACAATATTTCACCGACAGACTCAGTGGAGCACGCCCGTGAGGGCGACCTCCCTCTGGGAGGTTATGTGCGACGGAAGGAAGGAAGGAAGAGATTCCCTGATGGTCCCTTCATACACATAATAATACCCCCCAAAACCCTATTCTTATTAAGGCCCCTATATTAGAATGATAGCCGGAATGAGTGTTTTGTCAATACGAGAATGCTGGTGTTTTGTTGTAGCCCTTCCAAAGCGTGATGCGTCAGTAGCAGTCCCGCCTCTTTAACACACAATCCCAAGTTTTGAAGACATTTGGCCAGACTGCTAGGCCGCATAAATCGACCCCAAAGCTAATATTTGTCTTCGAGCGGGGGGGGGGGGGCATGCTGTGAGTGAGGTGTAGGTGAGGCCCAGGTCTGGGTGGTTTGCAACTTCATGACGCAGGAACGAGGGCTATGCAGACTCCTGCCAGCTGATGCTGATACCGAGCAACGAGATTGGCTTGAATGCAGCGAAGCAGGCGCATCTTCTGGATAGAGTCAGGCCAGTGTTCAGTTTTGAGAAGGTCCTGTGACATCTACGGTTCGCAAGCCGAATGGGTCCTCAAGCTTGTGGGTGATGGACTCGGACTGTAACCCAAGGCTTATGTGGGGCTGTGACGCAAGTTCACCCGAGAAGGTGGAAGAGACCTTGGCTTCCAAATAGGATGCATATCTTGTCTTGCAACTAGCTCCCACGGCCCTTTGCAGACTGTGTTTAGGGTGTAGGATTGGGGGTTGAAGGCTTAGGTTTTAGGGACCACCCAAAGAGCCCAATATCCCACAATTAAGGAATATGCCTTAAGGATCTCTTTGGGCATCTCCCCAAACAGGGGGACTGCTTCCCCTGGGTTCGCAGAACTTTGCGGGTGCCTGGCAGTGCCGATCTGGGGCTCCAAGAGGGGTTCCCACAATTCGAGAAGTTTAGGGAGTTTAGGTTTTATAGGGCTTAGGGTTAGGGGTTAGGGGTTTAGCATCCTTCCAAGAAGTGCCGCCTTGGCAGGAAGCCACGTTTGCGGTGTATGAGGCGCAGGCACCGTGTGTCATCAAACGCGGGAAGGATCATCTCTTTGGCATTTTTTCACCAAGCCCTTCTTCCATGAGATGAGGAATTTTCGAGCAGGGACTCAGGGACCCTCCTAAGAAGAGAGATGCTTGGCCTCAATGTGTTTAGGCTCTCTGAGCTCCACCCTTAACGCCCACATGTATGTTCGCAGATGATACTTGGTGGTACAGTGCCTGAAGATGGATTGAAGTGGGCATGAGACCTTTGTCTAACTTGGAAAACTCGCCCTCAGCACCATACTTGTCCAGGCGGCCACAGGCATGTCGTGGCAGTGAACGAGACTGGTGCGGGAAGTGCTTGCATTGCACAGTTTGAGCGTTTGGTTGCTTCAACTGCTGAATGGGCAAAGCTTCTTGCCATTTTCCAGCGCTGTCTAGCCTAGCCTAGTTGGGTTATGATAGATGCTAAGGGAAGTCCAGGGCAAGCCGCACAATTGTCATGGTGCCACACAAACTTGTCCATCACCGTTCGACGTGTTCGAATTTTTTGTCTTGACATGAGTGCCTGCCGGTCACTCGTCCAGGGGTGGGTCTGTGCTGGTGGTCTCATTGCACCTGCCTTTTTCCCAGTAAGATTATGTAATATTCCTGCCTTGCTATCCAAAAGCAAGCCTAGACTCCTAGCTCATGGACGACCTAATCCTGAGCTGTCCTGAGCTAAGAATGGGGATCACCAGCGGCTCACAGGCCGCTAATCGACAGACTCTGGGGTAGAAGGCTGCAGCTCATCCAACAGCTTTCTTGAACCATGGAAACTCGCAACTCGTTTTCTAGGCTAGATTGTCGTTGTCACCCCGAAACAGCCAAACGATCCTCCCAGCATCGTTCATGGCATTTCATGTTTTTTGTTGGTGAGCAGCTTTTTGGCGCGTTCCAGTTTCGAACTTAGTCCCCAGTGACAGACACTTAGTTACTTAGGAGCAGAAGCGCGTTGCTTCTCTGAAAGAGCCTCTGGTGCCAGGGGAGGCAGGTCGACTTTGGACTGACCCGCCGGCGATTTGAAGCAAACAGGGTGCTCTTGACATCTTGGGGATTCGGTTGAGTTGCTATTACATGATATTACATGTCCAAAGTCTTGTGGCACCGGTTGTGTTTCTGAGAGGGCTGGATTCCCTGACGGTTTTCCCATGCTTCAGAGGGCTCCGTTTGAAATGATACCTCGGTTACAACCTTGCTGCTGCGGAGTGCGTTCCACGAATTTCAAAAGTTTGATTATTGCAGCAAGACGAGGGGCTGAAGGCTTGAGACTCGGCAGTTGGATGCGACGTCGGGGCAGCGTGTTGCCATCATTTCGCGTCAGATTCCTGCAAAATGCTCAAGGGTTCGGTGCTGCACAAGCCATCACGCAAGCTGTTGACTTTCAGACAAAACTCGGATCGTTCAGGCCAGGCAGGTTGCTTGCATAAACATCCACGAGCCATGGCCACTGGACAATCAAAGCCAGCAGATCCTCAGCGAAATATGGATTCTTTGCTGCGGGTTCTGGGCAGTTCCTGGCGCTGGGCATTCCTGCTGTTGTAGAGACTTCTTACTAGGACACACTAGCAGCACTTCCTTCATAAGCTGTAGATCTTTTGACACGCTCCGGCCATGGCTTGTTGAGTCATCTGAGCTCAAAATCCAAATCCACACCCTCAGAAAGAAGCAACGTCACAGATGGTATGTGCACTTCTGTCGCACCTCTTCATTTTCACATGTGCAAGATGTCAATAGCTTTCCATCATGAGTCTTGCGATTCCGGAGCATGGCACTGATGTTTGGGGTGTTCGCCGTCGCGTTCTACTAATTATTCCATGTTGCAAGGGGCGCCGGAGCTCGGTTGTGCAGCAAGGCATCTTACGATCCCGAGCGAGCAGCCGCAGGTGAGGAGCTCAGCTCAAGCTCAGTGCCCGACAATGTTCTTTCGTGTGGGTCGCTGCGCTTTAGGCCTTGACGTGGCGGCTGGCTTCTTTCTGTTTACGTTACGTAGCCTGTAAACATTCGACACAATGGGATCACATTCTGAGTTGGTTGAGCACCGCGGCACTGCATGTCTGCACTTTCACCATGAACAAGCCCTGCATGCCCGATGGAGGCAATTTGCTCAAGCGTGGTCAAGGTATCTCATCGACTCTCCTAGTCAACTCCTTTCTCCTTTGACAGCCATGTCCTTCTGGGAGATTGAGGGCATGAAGGCTGGCAGGGCGAGAGTCGCAATTTCTGTCTGTTGCATGGTGCAACTTGCCAATAAGCAAATTATGATCCCCCCCCCCTAAGAAACCTAAACCTGGTCTTGCTGAAGTTGGACTGGTGGGCACCCGCAGTTCTCGAGATTTTCGTGACAGCAATCATCAGATGCAGCGGGCACGTTTGTTTGATGAAGAAGCTTTGCTCCTCGTTTGGGGCTTTGTTTTCGCCGCAGGCCGGCGTCGTGACCGGCGACGTCGCCTGGAACCTGTTGCAACATGCCACGTGGCTGTCGTAGAGGGATCGGCAGGTGGTGAAGACAGCATTCCTGCAAGAACAATCCACGCAGGTCCCCATTTGTTGTACTGAACGGCTGCCGAGAGTTGAACAGCTGAATGCAGCCTAAACTGCGGCAGCTCAGGCGAAGAAAGAAGGATATGCGATTCCGGCTTTCAACTGCACGAGCACGAGCACCATCAACTCCGTCCTGGAAGCTGCCAAGGAGCTTTTCTGTGAGTGAATCTGACATGGTCCGAGACTGGACGGCCCCTCCCAGCGCAAAGCAGGAGCTTGGCCGGCCTTGCATGGTCCAATTCTCCGAGGGTGGCTCCGCTTTCTTGGCCGCCTGGATGTCAGGAGCCAGGGATTTCGGGTTGTAATATTATAAAGAACCAAGGATGCAAGAGAGTGTTTGGTGGCGTTCGTGGGCCACGGTATATTCTGCTGCGCCCGGGTGAGGCAGAACTTCATGCCCTAGACAACCAGCCTTCCCTGGCCTCAAAATTATCGCATTCAAGGCTGGCAAGTCGCTGCCCAACGAGAAGGGAAAGCTTCAGGCTCGGATCCTGGGTTTGGTGTTTGGGTTGCCAGTCCGGCGCACACACGCACACATGCATTCATGTTCGAGAAGTCCTCCCAGGCCTCCATTCTTGGGGCTGTGGCTGGTGCGCACTTCGTGCGTGCGGTGGCGCCCGCCTATGGCTACTCGGACTTTGGGCAAGAGCTGCCAGAGGTGGTGAGCGGATTTGAGTACGGAGCTGTGTGCAAGAGTCTGCTTATGCAGAAGCACGCGTCTTCACAGGATTTCTCGGGACCACGTCAGCTCGGGTGGCTGTAGAGGCCCATTTTTCTTCTTTCAGTTTCTTCGGCTTCGAGGTCTTCCGGTACTGGTGCATTCTGACCACTGCGCCAAGAAGCTGTGTCTTGGCGGAAGTTAAGCAGAAGGCGCAGGGCAGTGTGACCGTGTGTGACAGTGAATACATAGTGTCGCTGTAGGCTCCCTTGGTTCGATGGCATGCTCGACGCCGACGAGGCATACTTTAAGCCCCTGCGCCGCATTTCGCTTGCTGGTGCTGTGGTGGTGACAGTGTTCCTGAAGGGAAGCATCGGAAAGTGTCTCGGAGTCTGTTGTCGTCGTTGTCATTGTCTGAATTGAAGGGTACAGTACGTCAGAAACCCATCTGACTGGCAAGACATCCCATTGGTTCTTTTTTCGGAAGCAGCTCGCCGCTGGTGCCTTCATCCACTGTCAGGCAACACGGAGAGCCTCTGTTTTCCTCGCACATGCTCGACCTCTCGGAGGCCCGTGCAAAGCAAGTTTTGAGGAAGCCGGACAGAAGTCGCCCTTGGAGTCTCTCTTGTGGGTGCGTCTGGTGTCTTTAACGGTGCAGCAAATCTGTCAGTATGGTTGACCAGACCTCCCAGGAACCGGACGAGGAGAACATCGAGATCTGTGCCAAGTACCTGATCCGCGGCAGCACTCAACCGGCTCTTGGAAGATCCCAAGCCGGGCCTGTTGACCTCCGTCAGCTTTCCTTACACGATGTAATGTTTACAACCCCCCCTTGCTACATGAGCATAGGGCTTCAGCTGCCTGTTCTAGAAACGTCGTTTCGTTACGAATGCAGCTGTCAAGACCAAGAGCCTCGAAGGAAGAGGATGGCGCCCATGAACCAAATCCTGGAGATGGAGCCGCCCGGCGTAAATTTTCGTCGGCAAGTTCAGAGATGTCCGTCGGTACCGGTCAAAGAAAGTGTTCGCCTGCACATGGATGAGACCACACCATAGGCCCATAGAACTGTATCGTGCGATAAGATACACGAAGTTCGCATAACAAACTAGTGAAAATGATGAAGGTTGCTCACATGGAAGGCCGCGTGCCTTCGGGTTTTTTGTCGGTTCGGTCGGTTCGGCTTTCAAAGATATGTCATATTTCAGATCTCGAATGAGCATGGATCAACAGACGCCCATCCTCTCGCGGTCGCGCATTGTTTTTTATTGACATGCGGTGCAAGTTGTTTAAAGCACGCGGTTTCAGGGTATTGTGACTTCTGCTCATCCGAAGACACACCCACTGTGGCCGCTAACAGCGAGAGCAGGTAGGACCTATGCCTATACAGACTACCCAGATATCATGAGCATGCTTGCCACAGCGGCAACATGAATGTCGACTGGCCAACGACAAGGATTGGCATCACCGGCGGTGTTGAAGATGGTGTGGACAACACCGGCATGGCCAAGGATCCCTGCAATGCCTTATTGACAAGCCATGCGTCCCTTTCATTTCTTCGAAACCTGTGCGGTGGAATCTGCCCCATTACAAGTGTTTTCAAGCGCGCCAAGATGGGCTAATACTTGCAGGAGAAGCTTTACTCGACACCGGAGGATGTCTTCAAGGTAGGTGCTGTGTGTCGTGAGTTGGGGTTGGCTCGTGGCGTCCATGTCCCCCCCCCTCCCCCCACCCACATCATTCCCCGGCAGGTGTACCAGGGCCTTAGCCCCATCTCCGAGAAGTTCACCATTGCGGCAGCTTTCGGCAACGTGCACGGCGTGTACAAGGCCGGGCTTGCAGGTGTGGGGAGGCCGCTTTGCAGGATTCCTTTCTGCCGCCACTGTTCCAATGAAAGCTTAACTTCTTCATCTTGTAGGAGTCCCACAGGTTTCCGAAGAAGTAGGCAGCCTTCATTCGCAGTGCACATGCGAGAGACATCAGGCTGGCAACGTCGTGCTGAAGCCGGAGCTGCGCACTGCCAGCAAAACAGCCTCGGATAGACAGGTTGTCATAATGATTGCTACATGCTGTTCGGCTTAAGTGGCTACATGCGATATAGGAGGTGCAAGCAACACCGAGGCTGAATGACATGCAGGCATATGCCAGCGAGCAGCTCAAGGCACTGGCAGCCATCAACCTCCTGGCATTTGATGATGGCATTTGGACACAGAAGCGTATGCCACCTGGGAGTCGACAGCCTGCTTCAGTAGGCTTATGAGCATTGTGCTTTATAGTCGGGGTGAATGTCGGTGATGAGTTGCATCTGGAAGCACTGGGTGACATGACGCAGCAGCACACGACACGTGCAACAAAGAGCTTTTCGATGCTGGTCCAAGATGCAGGCCTCTGGCAAGGACATCCCGAAACCGCTCAACTTTGTGCCTCGCCTAGGGGTCTCTGGATGTCCGTGGGCCAGTAAACTTGGAACTGTTGGGAGCTGCTTTGGAGCTTGGCCCTGGTCCAGCCTATCTATGGATTATAGACCTTTCTACATAGATGTGTATGTTTATATATATATATACACATATATATGTACATATATATATATATATATATTCGTTTTTTTTGCTTTTAGTTGTATTCTATTTGGATTTGTGTACAGATAAATATATTTGTCATATTATGATGCAAGGACATGACCGAAGAGGGCCGACCCGTTGTGACAAGCACGTGACAAGACTCAGGCTGCCATCCTTGCCTGCATGATCCAATGATCGGCACCGTCCGCTTGTCCATTCACAGCTTCCAGGCGAGTTCCATGTGGGACGATCTGCTGAGGTCTTCCATGGCGGTTCTGGCTCCGAGAAGGAGAAAATCGAGACGGCCCTCAACGCCGGCGTTGTGCCGCCCGGCCTCCGATTTGAAGGGGTGGCAGAGGCATGCTGGGGAAGCCTGGTAGGTCGACTAAGACGCCTGTGCTTGCAGAACTCTTGTCACCCAGGAAGATGAACGTCGATACCGACACCCAGTGGGCGTACTGGGAAGGCTATCAGTTTCCAAAAAGCAGATCTCAGCCCCTGCTAGACTCAGATGCCGGGGCCAGCGCAACCACTTCATCCCTTCTGCGGCGTGCTGCATACATGGGCGTCAATGAAGCACCGGTAGTAAACAGTCAATTGCCAATTGCCGGCAGTTTCCGATTGTTTGCGTCGGTGACATTGACGAGGCCTCCTGAAGTTCTACAAGGCCAAAGAAGGCTACCTGCAGGGCCAGATTGGCAACCCGGAGGCGGGGGCCTCCGCAGGGGCTGCCATCCGGAAATTCAGAACTTGGTCTCCCGGCTTGAGTTGAATCTTCTGAGCACGTTGCATCACGTTGCAGCAGTTTCCCGCTGTCGCGGTGGAATGCTTCAGGGCGAGGACAAGCCGAACAAGTGCCTGAGCTATTAGGAACGGATTTGGGATCCGAAGGCTTGTCGATTAGAATAAGAGATATGCAGGCGCTAACCTTTTCGGCCTTTGTGGCACTCTTTGAATATTAAGTCTTCGTGGCTTCGCAGCTGTGCCATTATAGTCAGTCGAGTTGCGTCTGTATATCTTGAAATACCTTAAGTAAGCACCTTGGAACTCGAGGCTCGAGGCCAAATTTTTGAGAGTCTACATTGGTCATGTATGCAATGTTGCTACACAAGCGTCCTAAGTTGAGGAGGCGCTGGAGGCTTTCAACGTCAAGAGACCACAAGCGTAGCACAACATCTGCTTGTCCGCGCGGGCTACAGTACTCAACGTCACCTGCAGAGCAATCATGGGAGCATTCGTCAAGCAAGAAACCTGATATGTCGTTACGCATCTTCACGCGTGCAGGAACCTAAAAACAGAGCTCCCAGAGCAGTATTGGGAAGACTTCGGGGGCATGTTGCCCAGGGGGCGGATGTGTGAGGGCTGAGGCCGAGGAGGCGTGCAAGATGGTCTATCTGACAAGTGGCTCTGGCTCCCAAGCAAAAACAAAAACAAGAAGCGTACCCGAACAGAGAGAGGACAGCTGCTGACTTCAGGATCATCCTACAAAGGCCCTCCGGCGCAACCTCAGATAGACTTCGACCCCATGACCACAGCTGAGGAGTTACTACGACCCCCGTAAGTGGATCCGCGAATGCGAGATGACCATGGTGAAGCGCGTCAAGGACGGCGTGTCCCAAGCCTTCAGTTGGTGTGCCTGAAACGTTGTCCACATCTTTAGTCCGGCAGCAAAGACATTTGCTAGCAGTTCTAGCCCTCAGTATGCTTCATCGCGTTTTATACCCAAGTTCAGATCCACTGCCTGGCTCTGTGGGCTTGTATATATCTGCATAAACACAAGGTTAGAGGGGGGAGGGGAGATGGGACGATGGGAGGGAGGAGTGAACCAATGGCGGAGAACAATGGGAGTTCAGTTGGGAATCCTGTGTGTCAAAGTGCCTTCCATGACGCGTAGGAGAGCTGCGCGGACCTCAAGAACGTGAACAAGTGATCGGCCAAGATCTCTGGACTAGGTGCCCACGCCGGCCATGTCCGAATGACGTTGGCATTGTGGAGGATGTCCATCACCCTGTTGGGGAGTTTCACAGACCTGGCGAGCTCAGAGGCTTGCCTTGCAGCTGCACTTGGTGGCATTTGCTGGGGAGTGACCGAATACAAGACAAGGTAACCCATCACTGCACCCAAACAGGTCTTTGCTAGACCTCCGAGGTCAGGGGTGAACGAAGATCCAAAATTTTCGGGCTGTTGAAATTCCTAATGCCGTGAGCTATCATGCCAGCATGATGATGTTGGGGGTAGCCACTCTTCTTTTGCTGCTCCAGCATTGTCATTCACATTCCTTTTAACACGAGTTTTGGTGCTCGAAGGGGGCCCGGGCCCATGCGGATCCTGCAGAATCTTCAGAGCAAGGTTGGAGGCACAAAGTTCAGTGTGTTCCAGGTCGCCGCATGGCTTCAGATACCCCATCTTGAGCTCCCGATCCTGCGAGCAGCACAAGTGTGCACGCTCGTGGCTGGAAGAGATTCTTCACTGCGAGTTGAGAGCGGAATATCCGGAGTCCACGAAGAGCTCTGTTTGGTTTTGCCTCACGGGGGTCTTTTTGTAGGGTGTGGCCAACTCGTGTTTAGCTCTGGTCCCCTGGTTCTGTGGTCCTCAGGTCCCCTGCGCATTTATCCCCCCCCCCCCTCCAAATCCGTTCAATCCTAAAGATCCCGAGGCAGTGTGTTTGCGTTTGCAAATGGAGGGGGTTGCACCCGCGCCCACCCCAACCACGCCGATTTTGTATTATTTTCAAGTCTGAACATAGACGAGTCCTTGCGTCACAAATTTTTGAATTCCCCAGTAGCTTCACGAACAACCGGAGCCGACAACTTGAAATTCCCAAATAGCTTGCCGCAGACAGTATCGGCCACACCTAAACCTTGTACAAAAAGGGTTTGGCCAAACCTTTACCAACAAACTTCGCGCAGTTTGATCAAAATTGTTAGATAAGATGTCTGAAGGTCTGGGTGTTTGGTCTTCAGATTTGTTGCCTGCCAGGCTGTGTATTGAAGGCTTACTGTTTCCATGACATAAGAAGAAGCATGAAACGGCAACGCTTTCAGGCCTTCCTCGAGTGCCCCGCGCCAGCGCACGACAACGGGCACTCTCAAAGCCTGAGGGAGGAAGTATACTTGGAGGTTCATGGGCACTTATGAGTATGGTAAAAAGTACCCTAAGTACGGCTTATCACCATAGTTACCCTACTTGGAAACCTACTTCTAAGTACCCATATGAACCTTCAAATAGTCGCATGATTCCGCGAAAGTGCGCAGGATTGGATGGGGCGCAGGGCTTGTCTTTAAGTTTTACGAACCTCATCTAGGGTTGTTTATATTAACATAACAGAAAACCCTAAATGGCTTCTCTTTAAGTTGTAATAGTTGTAAGAACCTCCAATCCTGTCAGGGGAGCTCACTTTGGACAGAGCCGCCGGCGAGTTGAAGCATACTTGGCGCTGCTGCGGCAGAGTTGCGGAAACCCATGTCCTTTTTATGAACGTTTGAAATAGCATAGCCAAATCTTAATAAAATGTTGATTCCTTCTAGGTGGTAAAATGCATGTGAGCCATGTGACACCGGTTGTACTTTAGATAGGGCAGGGTCCCCTGCCATCATCTGGAGTCAGAGCCCTGCAACCTGCTCAAGGATTCTGTGCTGCGTTATCATGATGCATGCGGTAGACTTGTAATAGACATATCGTAGGGAGATCTCGGATCCTTCAGGCTAGGCGGCTAGGCACCTTCCTTGCATAACGTCTTCGAGCCATGGCCACGCCGGTGGACAATCAAAGCCAGCAGATCCTCAGCGTATGATGGAGCTGTGCAGCTTACAGAGCCATTCTTTCTTGGCCCTGCTTCTGAGCAGTTCCCCAGCGTTGGCCGCACCTCCTGCCTTGTAAAGCCATGTTGAGAAAGTCCCAGCACCCTACAGCACCTCCTTTGTAGACTGAAAGGCTTTCGAGAAGCTCCATGGCCTGTTGACCGAATTAGTTGAACTCACCGGTCGTCCCCCGGCACGAAAGCTAACTCCTTGGAGCGTGCTGGAGATGTCGTTTACAAGTAAAGTGTTCTCTCAAGCGTTTCGGGCGGGTCAATATTCAAAAGGCGACGGCGGGCCTTAAGTGCTATGAAAATCAGTTCGTCAACCCTCTGTGAAGAGGGGGCCCTCCCCCTCCCAATGAAGGCTTATTGCAATTGGTTTTTGGGAGGCTCTTGTAAGCGCTTCTTTTAAACTTTCCGATCGGATTTGTAGTAGGCTCTTTTGGGAACATAAGCTTCTCGTGGTCGTCCATATGCAACGCCCTGGATTTCGACCTTAGTGACTGTTTCTTCGCAGCAACGGCACAATCAGCAAGCAAAGGCAAAGGTGATAGCTGACTAGGCATGTGAACTTGTGCCGCCCCGCTTAGTTTTGGATATTCCTCTGGCAAGCTCTTGCCGTGCCTCGTAGTTTTGATACATCAGGAGCCTCATCGCACAGCTACGAGAGGAGTTCCGTGCAGAAAATGAAAGAGCCATGGCTGCATTTGTGGATTCAGACGGCTCAATCCCCCCCAAGCCTTTGAGATTCTGTGCGAAAAACGAGTGCAGCAGAAGACCTTGGTTGTTCTGATGTAGGAGATTGACAAAAACAACACAACAGGAGGAATGCATCCTTTGATCAACAGAAGCCAACAGAGTGGAGCCAAAATGTTGCCCGCACAGCTGCGAGGTCACGACATGCCTCAGTGATGTCGGAACGGAGTAATACGCACACCTCCCTCCCCCCCGGAATGAGCAGACAAGCAATTAAGGCAGTCACCCTCTGTGTGGGGTTGTTAGATTTTTAGTCAACCACTCTCCTCGCCGCCTCGCCCGGTGTGCCCATCTCCTGGCCCGGTCTGTGGAGTGCCCACCCCCCGAGAAGCCCGCAGAGCGTCCCGTGACGGAAGCCTGCTGGGAAGTATCCACAACTGCCTGTTTGAACACAGCAGGATGGTTCCCCCCATCGGGGAGCTGCAGGATGTTGTAGAGTGGGATGATCAATGTAAAGCATCTTGGGTGAGACGGCTTAGGGTTTTCAGGAAGTTGCAGGCAAAGAAGTTCCAATCAAAAGCTTTCGGAGTTTCGTGTTTGGGTTGTAGCAGTTGGGTTGGGCACGAGTACTTGCCATCCATACACCTTCTACCTACTATTTCCTTCAGAACCCACAGGAAAATGAAAGACCATAATCCCTATGCTACCCTCATAAGGATCTTACCATTTTGAAGCCTCCAAGCAAGCGAAGGGATGCTGCTGTTAATTCAGTGAAGCTGAAAGTTCCTTGTCAAGAGCCTGAAGGCCATGTTGAAGAACCAGATGATATTGTGGTGTAACAGGGAGTGTGTTGAAAGTTCCACGGCTATTGCTGGAGAACAGGTTGTTGGGGCTTCGAGGCTGGGCGAGTAGCATGTTTGTAAGCACAAGTGCCAAACGAAGGATCGAAGCATCAAACCATCTCTCCTCCTAAACCCTAACCCCTAAACCCTAAACCCTAAACCCTAGGGATGAAGCAACTCCTGGAAGCGGAGCGCGTGCAGCGTGCGGAGAGCATCGCGGGGGTTCGGCTGTCTGCCTGGGGCCTGAGAATGGCTGCTGCTGGGAGATTGGAGTTCATTGGAGAGTTCAGGGTTTTCGAATGTCGCATCAGGTTCCGTCATCATGACAACTTCTAGCTGCTTCCTCATTCAATCTTCACTTTCTGGGCAGCATGGGGATCGGAATCCTCGTTCTCAAGCGCCAGGCGTTTGTGGCAAGGGCAGCCAGCTCAGGTCGATACTTTGGGCGCCTCAATCGTGGAGGGCCTGACCATTCTGGGCGCCGACCCGCGAAGCAACAATTAAAGGTTGATTGGGGCCGATGCCTCCGCGGCCCGTAGGACTTAGAGGGTTCGGGATTCAGTAGTCGGTTTAGGTCAGAGCCGATTATGTTGGAGGTAGATGTGCAGATTCGAACTCAGAGTGCAATGCTTCTGTTCATTCAGGAAGTCGAGAGCGTGATCTCGTTGGTGATGCACCTCAAGAAGACTCAGGCTTCATACTTTGGTTGCGTGCCATGCGCTAAGCCAAAGGAAGAGGCAAACCTTGCAGACGCAACTACATGGTGCTCCTGGAGCTACCCTCTCCCCTGTGCCCGAAGCGAGCCGATCAAAGTCGCATTGGACATGTAGGCAGCCATCATCAAGAGTCGCTTGAACATGGCTGACAATACACAACCTGTCCTGCCAATCGTGCTGCAAACAGTTTCCTTTGTCCCGAATGAGGGGTCCAGGCAGCTCCTCGCATGTTGCCAGCAGCCCGATGCCTGAAATGCCAGTATCGTCAGGGATCGCAGCTGCTGTCGGATGCGGCAAACTTGATGCCGGGCACTGAGCAGTCTGCAGTGGGATCAGCACCTTCGCATAATGCTATATTGGCACGGAAAGTTCTGATTTCACGAGTGATTGTTTGATTGTATATGTTTAGCATTGTTTTGTTGAGACGATGGCGTTCATGTCCTCACTCCAACCGTAAACATGTGGTTCACTCGGTCCTCCGAGATCTGGGCTTCAAAGTGAGGCACGTTAACTTTATATTAGCAGCGACAATCTCTCGTTCAAGCCGCCGGAGCACAGCATTTCCATCACGGCAGTCTTTCAGCTTAGGCAGTTTGTTTATTTTGAATTGCCCCATTTGAAATTATTTCGGGCATGGCATGTCAAGAGTATGTTAACAATAGATACAGTGATATGATTCATATATATATATATATACGCACGCATACACACCGACTAGTTTTAACGCTACGCGACCCACCTCGGCCGGGGGGCCTGCACAGCTGCGAGGCGCTTGCTGTCGAGAGGACATGCAGTTCATTGGGGGGGGGGGGGTGGCATACCTCGTCCAAGCGAAAGTGTGCCTGAAGCTTGAGCCCTGAAACCACGCAAGATGCAATCACTCTGAAATTGTGCCATGTCCATATTTCTAAAGATCCATTGAGAAACGAAAAAAACATCTGCCATGAGAAGGACGCTTGAAACAACATTATCCTTCATCTCTCGCCACTGTATAGCAGAAGCCCCCCCCCCCCCATGCTTGGTTTTGAGGGGATGGCACGTGCCCTAGAAGGGTGGCACTTGGCATTGCACCTATGGCCTTCTTGATAGGACTTTAGGACTTTAGGGTTTAGGGTTTACGGTTTATACAAGCTCCGTAGGCAGTGCCCGCTGCAGGCCCGAAGAGGAGGTGGACATTTCGCCGCGGTCGTTGGATCGACGGCGGATGCCTTTTGCTTGACTTTTGGGGCCCACATGAAGGGCTGATACTTGGGGATCCCGATACACAAGGGTAAGGGACCATACTAAGGGCCCATGGTTCCGACCTTCGATTGTTACAAGATTTCCGGTCTAGGACTTGCACATGGGAGTGGGACAGTATGGACTGGGGTCTGGGCTTAGTACGGAAGGTTCATGGAGACGTGGGCATAAGGGTGCTTGGCATTCTCTCACGCAAAAAGACCCAGCACAGACGTCACGAGTTTCGGGCTTTGTCCTAGAGCGCGCAGAAGACCGTAATTCATACGCACAGGGCAGAACAAGGTTTTGCATACAAGGGTCACTTGATGATGAGCTCCCCCCCCCCGAGGCCTTGACATTGTTTCTGTGTTTGTAAGGTCATACCGAAGTTGGTGAATGCCAAAGCTTGAGAGGTGTATCAGTTGTTTCCAAAGCCATGGGACTCAAACTGCTTCAAGCCCAGAATCCCTCAGAACGATCCTCTTTTGCGGAAGGCAAACAACTCAGCATCTTGTTGCAAAAGGAAACGAAGCGGCCCAGTAACCTCACACAGCTTGCAAGAGGGTGTGCTGGTACACTAAAATACCCGTCCGAATTTCTCCGAAAAACCTGCAGTTCGGAGTCTGAGGATGGATAACTTCCAGAAGGTGGGCCCGGTAGAGAGCGTAGATTCGGTGGCTCCCTGAACTCTCTAAGCCCTAAATCCACTGCAACGTGTGGAGCATGGCTACAGGGGTGGCAAAAGACATCCACAGGTCCCAAGGGTTTTAAACCCAAAACCCTAAACCACCAGAGTCCTCGCCCGCATTTCGCCAGCGTGAGAGTCGAAACCCTAAATTAGTTGCGGGAAGTCCGAGCCATGGCGTTCTGAGCTCCTTGAACCTTCATCCTTTCAAGTGGGTTAGGGTTTAGGCTCCTTGAGAGCAGTGCTGCAGTCATGTGTGCTGCTAATTACGGTGGGTGACATGTTCTATGTGACGTTCCCGACGCCCGAAGCCCTGATGCAAAAGGAACTAGGGCTGGAGGGTTGATGCAAGTTGGGGCACCTATTGAGCGGCTGTTGGGCAGCGTTCATGAAAATTGTGAGCAGTTTGAGCATATTCTTTTTGCGTGTCTCAAATCACTGTTGACCGACGAGGCGAATTCATCTCCAGCCCCAACCCCCCACGCCCCCCCCCAGTAGTGGCCAGAGTAGTCTTTACGAGGCGAGCATACATCCCCTATTGGAGCCGCCTTCATCCCCTACTATCCCTATACTGTAACCTTCGGTCACCAGCACACGGGCCCTCGCTCTCAACCTGCCTGCACAGTTGGGCCAACAGCTCACGGACGGCTGCCGAGCTCAACTGGCAATGGAGTTGCAACGTGCAAATAAGGACAGCGATTGCATGGTAGGTTCGTCCGGCTTATGTTTGTGGGCAATTCGATTTTGAGTTCACATTCCGTTTGCAGGTCGGGTAGGGGGGCATGCGCATGGGGCACCAAGATTTCAGTCTTGCTGTGTGTCATGTCAGGTCACGTTTAACATGCGGGGTTGCCATGAACGGACGTCCACCGTCGACCACAGGCATGGAAAACCGCAGGCACTGCGCATGATTCGGCGCATGATGTATACATAGAGCTTGGGGTGAAACGAACCAGCGCAGGGTAAATCATCCACAAATTGAGAGTGCAGCCCAGAAAGTGGTCTTGCTCGGCAGGATCTACAGTCCTCCATTGCCGCCATGGAATCTTCCATGCGTGCAGAGCTACAGAACCACGTAGGCCCGAGGATTTGGCTATGTTTGCGAAAGGAGTTTAAGGTTATGATTATCATGAATGCTTAAAAAGTAAGCTTCAGAGGACTCGAAAGTTCAAATTATCACTGGCCTTGTATCGCATCTGCAGGATCATTTAGTAATCGAGACGACTTGAGTGTGAAATTCTTCCGTGCCCAGACGATGCTGTGAAGACATGCATTGCGGAGAATCAGACGAAGGCGCAATAGCCGGCTCGGGATGCGACTTGAGCACTTAGTCACTTGGTAGCCAGATGCACCGCATCCACATTGTCACCTCCAAAACCCCGATCATCCTACCCATGCTCAGCCGGTGGCAAGCACAAGGACAAAACATACCCGTCGTTTGGAGGCAAGCGTCGAGGGAGAAGTCGCATCACCATCAAGTAGGCACCGTTGCAAGCTTGCATGGCGTAATGTGCTGTGGGACCAAGGTCGAATTGTCAATCTCTGAATAATATAGTCTCTGGGGCTATGACTCGCAACTGAGTGCAACAAAGATGCGGCCGAGGCCCAGAGCAGTCTGCATACTGCCCCATGCTTTGGAAAGAAATTGCGCAATAATAATTGTGCAGGAGACGCATGATCTTCTTGACGTGTGCGATAGGTATATATATATATGCACTACATATGCACACCTACGTTGAGCTTCCACTTCCTTCAGTTTGTCACATTGACAACTAAATGACTATTAAATTCTAGCCATTGTGCTGGTGAGGTGTTTACATTCCCTAGTAGAACTTCCGAAATTTCAATAGGAATGTGGCCGGAAGGCCTTGCAAAGGAGCTAGTGTTCGTTCAAGTCTGGCCGGCATTGACCCTGTTGCCAGTTCCGGTGGAATACAGGTATCACCCCGAGCCACGCGCAGACAGCAACCACCAATAAGTTGCATCGAGGGATTCCGCCACTCGTGAGAGCTAGATCAAATGGGATTCTATCAACCAAATTCCTCGCACACGGAGCATTGCCTGCCTTGCGCGCGCGCGCGAGAGACGAGAGAAGCAGAGTCCAAGAGTCCAAGAGTCCAAGAGTCCAAGAGTCCAAGAGTCGCGATGAGCTTCAGGGGCGGCGCGGTCTCGGTCAGCATCGACTTGAGCTCGGATTTGGAGGCAGGGTCATGCAAGACTTGAGGAGGAAGGCATGAAGTCTCCACTGCGCTTGGCCTTACACCTTCTCGAATTACATTGTGGTGGCTCAAGCATTCGGGCTTACATCTATCTGACTTTCCTTTGCGTTGCACAGTCAATCGCGGTGCCCATGTCGATCCAGAAGGTGCGTGCGCACTAGATCTTCGAGTCCCTGGGCCACCCAACTGTTCAGGTGGTGATCACCCCTTTCGCGCTGCTGTGCCCAGCGCAGCCTCCACTGGCGAGAATGAGGCCTGTGAGCTTCGCGAGCAGGGGCAAAGGCGTCTCCAAGGCAGCGTACACGTGAAGCCGAAGATTGCACCTGACCTCGTCGGAAAGGACCCAACTGATCAGCAGGCCATCGAAACCATCATGATAGTATCATGATCGACCTGGATGGCACACTCAGAACAGGCGTTCGGAGCGAACACTGTCCTAGGTGCAAGCCTCTGATGTTTACAAGGTGGTGTTAATGCAAGACGTCTGCTGAAGCCATGAAACTGGCAACTGGGCTCGGAGAGACCTAGAGCGATCCGGAAGAGGGCATCAAGCTTCTCCTGGGAGCGATCAGCCAGGTGGGCCATGAAGGCAAGATCCTAACATCTTCGGAGTTCTGGAGCCCCGGAAAGATGCAGAGCAGAAGTATGACACGGATGTCAAGACACCAGCCCTAAGCCGGAGAACATGAAGACCCAGGGAGGAGGTGGTGGCCACCTACAAGCGCTTCTGCGACACCTACCCCGGCCCGCAGCGCTGGTGGGCGGCAAGTTGGAAATTGTTGGGGATGACATCTGCTGCACCAATTTCAGGCGTGTGCAGATGGGCTCGGACAAGAAGACCACCAATGCCATGCCCCTCAAAGTAAACCAGATTAGCTGAGTGCGGGAGTCCGTCGCCGCATGGAAGCTCTGCCGGTAGCAAGTAGGGAGTCTTTGTGTCGCACGGCTCGGGAGAGATCGAGGACACCTTAACAGCTGACCTGACCGTGGGTTTCGGGGAGGAGGGTATAGTTCTTCCCAGTGAAGCTTGGGCACGGTCTTGATCTCGGAATTTCCGCAGATCGCAATAGACCGATTGCAATTCGCCTGGAGCCACATTGGAGCCACTTAGAGCCCGGACTTGCTCAAAGGCTTGGGTACGACGCTGAGAAAAACCGGGTGCCTTGCTGCATTGCTCTGCCCAATGTGAGAGCGGGCGGTGCTTGCGAATGCGCAGCCATGCAGGACGCTGTCTCTCCAACGTCCATGCGATCCATCTTGCAGAGGCTGCAAGGGCGTACAGTAGGCACGCAACAGGATTCGGAAATATCATTGCAGGTGGCAGCAACGCTTGCGGAGAATTCAGCATGAACATGTCGAGCATGCAGTACCAGCGTAGCGTGCCATCCAGTCTACGTTGGACAGCGATCTCGCATAGACCGCCAGAAGCGGCTTCCCATCGCCGCAAACCCGAAACTCTGCTTTGCACCCTTCCAGGTCTCCACTGAACGCGAGCGAGTCAAGGTCGATCCTGGAGGAGGAAGCTCAATCGCTGGCCAGCACGCAACTGCAGGCAACGTCTTGGGGACTGCTTCAAGGTGCTGTCTGGTCTCACAGGTGCAGTTCCTTCCAAACGGCGGATAGCTTGTTTGTGGAGGGTGGGTGGGGGGGGGGGGGGAATTGGCATGTTATGTTACATAAATGTTGCAAAACATGACATGATGCAGGATGTGCCAAAGTAAAGTAAACGCATGTTTCTTGTTTTAGACATGATCACCCGCATTGGCCTACATCCACACACATGCGCTTTTTGACGAAGCGACAGCACATCAAGTCCCTCACCAAACACAAAAAGCACAAACAGCTACGATGAGCTTTCTGGTTGGACTCGGACTTTGGATCAGCGAAAGCTGCACCAGTAGCTCCATCGTGTCCTTGGCAGACCAGTACACGGCGCCATAAATCATCGTGAATCCTTCCGACGGATTTTGAAAGCTGCACGGAATGACTTTCAGGCTTGCAGCTCAGTTGAGGCTTCTGGCCTTCGTCTCAGGGGTCATAGAACGTTAAACAAGTGTTTTTGATGTTGGCCGATGCTGGTACAGGTTGATGATGGAACTCCTGCGCGCGTTGCCAGCTATTGCGAGGAGTCTTGAGCAGCAAGATGTTGGCAAACCTCATGCAAGTTAGGCCTATGCGGTTTGGATAGGCTTGGGTCTTTCAACGTGACAAATGAGTTCTGCTGATGTTTGCCTGAGTGGGCACAAGTCGCGAGACTCAGAGAAGCGCCTGGGAGGGCCCTAGGCGAATTTAGACCTGCACTTCATGGCCAGAGGGGGTTGGAAGGCCCGAAGCCTGCTTGAGGCCCCGTGCGAGTCCGAGAAGAACACCCAGACACCAGACTTGAACGATTCCATAGATTCTTGGCAGCATGTTGTTTTCATGCCGGGCCATCTGTCGGCAAACATGTCTCTGTATCAGTGCATCATTCAATGCTGGAAGGCATTGTAGAGTTTAGAACCAATTTTTGGTAGTTTAGGGATCGATGCCACAGAGGCATCGGAGGAAGACATGCTCGCAAAGAACAAGGGCCCAGCGGATCCTTGACTGCCAAATAAGCATTTCCAGGCGAGTTACCAGACACTTAGGTAACTTGGCGGGCTTTGGTTTCTTTCTTGTAGCTGAGATCCTGAGAGCTGCTACAAAACCAGGAAACAACTCCGAAGCATGAGCGGTGGGGCAGGAGGGGGGAGTGTTTTTTGTTTTGCCAGAAGCCTCATCTAGAAACGTCACGAAGTTTGACCTGCTTGTTCTCTCAGGATCTGAAGGACAACACTCCCACCACGACCTCTACTGTTGAAGTACAGGCTGGTGATGGGGCCTTTCCGCCAAGCGCAAAAAAACCCGTGTACAAGGCGAACCCTTTCGATGAGCAAGCTGACAGCATAATACGGTATGTCGCAATGTACTATAAAGACTATAGTGCGGGGGGGGGGGGGGGGGTACTATAATCCCAACTGAGGACTGTTAGAAAAAGGGAGAAAATGCCAATGCCTGAACAGAGTTCAGCCCAAAACTTCTCGAACCTGGAGGAGGAGTTGACTGCGGGGCCAAGCCCGGTCAGCAATCCTTGGGCTGCCCGGCGGCATTCAACTGCCAAAGACGTTAAAATCTTCTCTATGCAGCTTTGTTTGTGTTTAACCGAGACTCTGACGTGCTGAAGTGCTTGGGGTTCGGATACCGGGATTTTCCACACTCTCTAAGTAGAAGTGCGCCAAGAGAGAGAGGAACTCTCAAGCCAGCATTGCGCAACAAGCAAACATGACAAGTTTCAACCCCCCCCCCCTCCCCCTGCAAACGTGACAACGCGTTGGAATCAAGGAAGCGTCTCCTCGACTTGCAACTTCACCAGCTCAGGACCACCGGTACTCAGCATCTCAAGGGTGGTTCGATTGATTGTTCAATACTTGCAACGCCCGTGTCAAAGAGCACTTGCTAGTACTGTGTTTGTGGCACTTTGCACGTGTGATCAATTCTTTGTACCGCGCCCCATGGTTCGGGTGTTGGCCTGAAGCTGAACCAGCATAATTAGGCTGTACCATCACAACGAACAGACATGACCTTGGATGAATCCGCAGCTCTGTCCCGAATGTCCCGACACAGGCGATGATGTCACCGCGCGGATCGCTCGTGTTTCCTTTGCCAGGCGGGGCGTCACTTTGCCGTCCGGGCGGTGATTGGGCGAGGGACAGGGGGGGAGGAAAAAAGCACAGCAAGCCTTTCCGCCCGCAGGAATGAACCCGGATCCGGCTCGGCCACTTCGATAGCAGTGGTGGGGCATGCCACGGCTCCGATTTCTGTTATTGCCTTTACTCTGTAATATTTTTCAGGGGCTTCGCCCATGGGCGGGCTGCCGCCCATGCCGCGGCAAATCGAGGAAGAAGGGGGGGGGGGGGGGGCGCCCGCACGCGCCTCTTTCATCACGGGTTTGGCGCCGGGGTCATGTCAAAGCCATGACCTTTCAACCCATAATATGGGTATATTATAGGCCTTGAGCTTAAAGACCTCGAAACCCGAATGCCAAAAACCCCAAGCCGCAACCTTAAAAAGGCTAAAGACATGCCTTCAAACCCAGCTGACCCGCGCCACGGGACCCACATCCACACCGAGGGAAATTTTATGCACGCGTGGGCCGCCATGTCATCCCCAACAAAAGATGTGCCCGTAACTTAGCTCAACCGCCCCATGCACTTCGGCATTGTGCTTGGCTGAGGCGACCCAACACTGCATACCAGGCCCAGGATGGATTGTGGCATGTGCACTTAGCTCCCCTGGCAATGGCTCGGCATTCCCCAAAATGCTGGCAGGTTCCTCGGCCAGTGGCGCTGCAAGGCGCGGGCGTAGCCCAGCGGCAAGTCTTCCCAAACCTCGCTGAACGAGTGTCTGGCAGGGCCTCCCTTGGCGGTGAGGACCATCAGCCCGCAGCGGGTCTGCCTCAGGCGAGCTCTCAGCCCTTCATGAATTAGTGTATCACAATACTTTTCTAGAAAAGCTGGGTTTCGGTTTAGAGTATTTGGGTCATTCTTCCTTGGGCCTGGTCCTGGGTAAATGCGGGCCCGAGCAAAGCAACGTGCGCGACAGAGAGCCCGGCGTCGAGGTAATCGAGCAACCAGAAACTTAACCGAAAGACTGCACAGTGCGAAATCTCACCAACTGATGCACAGCGCAATTGTGGTGGGTAGAGTCTTGAAGGGCATTCAAAATCATAGGTCGGCTATGTGAGCTTCCAAAGCTACCAGTGTGCCTTTTGCGCACGTGCAGCTTAAAGAAATTTCTGCAAAGAGTAGCAGGGGTGCGCTCCACGCTCGGCTGTGCCTTTTAACGGTAGAGTATTTTGTCGTTTGTTACCCAGGGGAAGTCGGACAGAATTCTGACGCATGTCAGACCTTACAGGTCTGGCTCTCAGCCCCGACAACTCGCTGCTCCAGTGGCAGCACCTCAATGGGTTGCCAGAGGACTTCCAGCACATTCCGGAACGCAGCTTCTAGTGAGACCTGCGTCTGCCATGTTTCGGTTTGCTTCACGAAACTTTGTATGCCTGAAAGGACCGCCAGGGCAGCCGGGACCGCCCTCAGGGCCAGGGCAGCCAGGACCGCCACCAGGGCAGCCAGGACCACCGCCAGGGCAGTCGGGACTGCCACCAGGGCAGCCGGGACCGCCGCCAGGGCAGCCGGGACCGCCACCAGGGCAGCCGGGACCGCCACCAGGGCAGCCAGGGCCGGGACCGCCACCAGGGCAGCCAGGCCCGCCAGGACCGCCGACCGCCAACCAGCTTCGGCCTGCCATTCCTGTGAGCACAGCGCTTGGTGGAGATCCGAAGAGAGGCTGTATTTCGACACTGAAAAAATGCTCGAAACACCTCCAGCTGGGCTAAGGCAGCCCGTATCTGTCCACGACCCTCGCGGACACCAGCAAGATGCCGCAAAAGGAGCAGGTCGGAGCTGCAATGATTACTTTGCTTTACCATGTTTTGGGGGGCGGCTGCGTCGAGAATGTCTCAGTGTCTCAATGCGGCTTGCGTTCGCACACTAACAATCCCTTCTAAAATGACCCCTTCCCAATAAATAGGTAGGAGCCCCCACTCCCCCCAAACAAATCTGGGACCCTCCAGAAAGAAATGCCCCGGAGCCCCCAAACATTTATTTATTTTATTTTTTTATTTTTTTTTTTTGGGCGGGGGGGGGGGGGGGGGGGACTCAAGTCTTTAACACCTTATAATATGTTCAATAAAGTTTGTGATTATCGACCCTACCTTTATTAAAGCCAGTGCAAAAAACTCTACGAGAGCGGTTGCATCCACAAACGTGCAGTTGTTTGGGCAGGTTTTGGCCAGCCCTGTCAACTGACATGATATTGACTGCAATCCCGCACGAAAGGAGGCTGCTCGTTTGGGAGCCATGCGTCTTGCCGTGGCGCAGAGTCGCTCTTCGCCATGAGCCCGGCGATGGAAATGTTTGAGATCCCTCCTTGGACATTCATGTGCACGTTGTGAGATCCTGTATCTTACAACTCTGCGAATCCAGGGCTCAGAGATGTGGATTCCCGATTCCTCACACCCAAATCCTGTCCCTGCAAAATCCCAGCAATTGCTGCTGCCGATGGCCACGTACTTTAGCGATGCAAGCAGAGTCGCAGCGCCAGCCCCTTCTGACTTTAATTTCAGGAGAAGCCCCTCTTGCACACTCCAAAATACGATGATCCTTTTGAAGGAACACAACAAAAGGGTACCCCTAAACCCTAAACCCTAAACTTTTGGAAACCCCCTTATCTTCCCAAGGCCTCCAGTAAGCGGCCGGCGCCGGGGTCCTCAGGGATTCGCTGGCCTGTCATGAGCGTATGGGGAATCCAGGATGAGCTTTGTGCTTCTTTTCTAGCTCAGATTTGTAGGTATATATATATATATGTAGATATCTCTATATATATATACATATATATATATATATTAAAGAATATTCCCCCAGATCTTCAGGTGCGAGCGCTACACGCCTGGAGATTTAAACCGCGGGAAGTGAGAGGTCCAACTTCTGCAGTGAGATCGGCTTGATTCCGGTACGGGTGGCAGCCAGCCATCCTGCTGCCCAGTCCCGACAAAGACACCCCCACAAAAACCCGACCAAACACTTTCAAGATGCGCGAGCTATTCCTCCCAAGGGTCCTGAGACGGTGGGGGTCCAAATGCCGTTGCTCAGCTCAGATATTTTCCAGACCAGCTGACATGGTCGGCTTTGCACAGGAGTGCCCAAAGCTCTCGGCACTCCTGTTAGCTTCAACATCCAAGCAGTGCCCCTCTTCTTCCACAGACGCTCTTGACCCTGAACCCTCTTCGGCAGACGACAGCTTTCATGAGAAAGGTTTGCCATTGCTGTTCTGTCGATGGACGACTGTTGGCATGGGCACCCCCCCTCCCCGCCGACCCCTCCTGTGCGGGCCAGCGTGATACAGCAAACTTGTTTGCACATGCGTGCAAGTCTCGAAGGGACGCATGCAGCAACCTTTTTTTTTCAGAGAATTTTCGGAACTTGCTCTGACAGCTGAAGCAGAAGCTGCTTTCTGATTTTCAAAAGGATGAGTCAAGTTTGCAGCACGGGTGGATTGTAGGTTTGGTGAATCTGAGCTAGAATTTCAGCAGAAAAGCAGAAGCGGCCCGGCTCGCGCCCTGCATAAACGCGAGGCTTGCACAAAGTGGGCGCCTTCGTCAAAAGATCAGTCTGGTGTGCTTCGCTCATGAAGTTGTGGGGACGTGACGTTTGTAGCTGCTCCCCGGAACTTGTGCTGTTCAAACTGTCTACTGTCTACTAATTTGCCAAAAATCAGCTCAGGGTCTTGTAAGCTTAGTTTTGTTCGGGAGACTGCTGCACCCTAATGTGCTGGCGCGCATGCCCGCATACGGCAGGGGTGGCAGTGCTTGGGTCTGAGGGCCGGCAGTTTTAGGCCCTAAGAGCATGTTATGGCAGCAGATCTGGCATGGAGCAGGAACCTGAAAACCCAGTTGACCCTGGGAAGTTTTTCCGCAAGGGTGCCATGTCACCAAATTTGTAACGCGATGGAATACACAGCCCTGTACTCCAACAAGTCATCGCATTTGAGATCATTCTGCGTGTGCGTGTGTGGGAACGCGTCGAAGGTCAATGACCATTGCTTAGCAATGCCATGTTCCCCGCCGCGCGACGAAGATGACAATGGATGCCCTGCAGGCTCTCCAATGAACACTTTATAATTTGGTATATTCCCTGAATACTAACAGGGAGATACAGGGGGTATTAGAATCCCCATTAAGGGCTGTTAGCATAAGGGGGAACATCCCAATGTATAATATACTATTATTTTATCCTGAGCTGAGCCCCAGGCAGCTATTTGCAGGTTCGAAGAACGCCCGTGAAGCTTGCTGAAGCTTGCGTATAGCCAAGGCCCCCTCTATTTTTTCTTTCGTAAGGCTTTGGGGACGGGAGGGCTGTTGGGCAGTCGAGTTCCTGGCAAAGCTCGCGGGGTTAAACTAAGGCTTTGGGTCGAGTACGACCGATGTCGGACCCTAATAACCCTAGACCCTTAAAAAAACTCTAAACCCGTAGGCCCTAAACCCTAAATGCGGGTGGCAAAACAAAAAGACTCTGGTCCCGATGATGTGCTGGTTCACAGTGCGGTCGCGCTCAGTTGCTACCCTAAACCCTTAACCCTTACACCCTGAACCCTAAACCCTAAAACCTAATTAAACCCTAAACCCTAAATACCCTAAACCCTAAACCCTGCAAAAAAGAAGACCCCTAAACCCTACACAGCCCTGGCACCCAGCAGCTGACCAGGTCCGGGTCCTCCGTCTCACTGGAGAGCCCCTAGAACTGGCTGTCGCTCCAGAAGCTACAATACATGAACTGTCTCTCGGCCTCAGATCTCGGGGATTTGTTTTTTCCTTTTGTGCAGGTTGCGAACACGTGTGTTGGTGAGTCGAGTTTGGCCTGGCGGGCACCCTATGTACTTCCCAAACCGGAGGGGCAAAAAAGGCATCGCACCTAGACCTAGCCCAGCTCACGAGTATAGCTCTTGCACCCCGAACTCGATGAAAAGAATTGTCAAGCACCTGCTGCGAATACCTACGAAGACAATCGAACATGACGGCAGGTATACACATGGTACTTTCCTCCAAAACTGCAGGAAGCTGCTTCTCCACGAGCTGTGCGATGCGCCATATTTCTGCCAGAAGGAGCTTCAGGGGGTCGGTCTCCTATTGGTTGTTTCCGTCGCATTGGTTCGATTTGCCTTCAAGGGGTACTGAACAACCTTTAATTTCAATGCAGAAAGTGTGGCACAAGCTAGTCAGGATGCCGTAACGAAGTGAGCATCCCACGACGGAGAAGGGTACCGTCAGAGGGGTTGCTTTCCAAGTGCAAGATGCCTTCGCACGCCTGTAGAATCTATTGGCGGCGGCAAAATCTGTTTACCACCTGATGCCACTTCCGCTACCGGGAATCTACCGTGCAGCACATGGGAAGCAGAGCTAGTGAGACACCCCCGGGAGGTAATGCTGGATCACGCGCTCCTCCAGACCACCGAGCCATGGCCGATGGATGGGTTCTAAAGGGTTCCATCGATTTACATGATTCGGCCTTACATTCCGGCTTTGTGCAGAGAGAGTGCAAACTGTACCATACGGCCGTTCTGCTACAGGCTATACTACCCCTCACAAGGACACCTGAGCCGAGTGTTCAGAAGTTTGATGCGTACCCTGGAATTGAGGATGTTCTCTCCTCGCTGCCTCAGCCCATCAGTTGCGACCCAAGCTGCGCATCGCAGAGCCTTTTCTGTGGAGTTCCATGATTTTTTGTCGGTTCCCTATGGAATTCCGTGTAGTAACCCCCAAGAACGAGCCGAGCTATCGGGTTTGTGGTTTGTGCGCAGTGTGTTGCTGTGGTGCTTCCCTGCTGCTCTTGTGATGCCACTGTTTGGCCGTAGACAAACCAGGCACAGGAAACGTGACGAGTCCGAGCAACGACATGAGCAATGGACTATCAGCATGATCATCAGTGTATCTATATATATGTATACACAATCATCGTAGCCACCAGCTATAAAGAAGACATCACCTAGGAATCGAAGGAAAGCCTCAGATCCCGCAGGTCTCACACTGGTGGTGGATTCCTTCCATCCCGAAGTGGCCCCGGCGTTACAGGCGGCTTCCGGATGTCATGTTTAGAACACTACAGTACTGGAGAGAGAGAAAAATGGGCCCGGGTGACCAGGTGAATGAAATTAGAAGCATACACCAGATTCTACTTATACATATACATATTATTATTATTATTATTATTATTATTATTATCATTTTATTGTTATTATTATGATTATTACTATTATCATTATTATATATTACTATGGCACCTGTTGAATGCCGCCTGAGCAGATCTGAGCCTTCCGACCCTTGTAGTGAAAGATAGCCAAGGCCTCCTGGGAGATGAAAGTGGGGGGGGCTTTTTCATTAAACCCTCAACCCCCCGTTGCGATGCAACCGGCCATGTGTCAAGCACATAATATCAGCTCCGGAAGACTCTGAAGTTCCAAAGCTGTCTTGAACTTTTTCGAACTGTACATCTGCCCTATCGGAAGATGCGCTGTCGCCAGTCTGTCTAGCGCTTTTCTGAACTTTGCGCCGCGGTTTTCCTCGGCGCGTTCGGCCCGATGGCACCTCAGGAGGCTTCTCGACGTGGAGACCTGCGCGGCGTCGAGAAGGCACTTAGCGCTCCTGCAGATCCCAACAAGGCCTCCGGGGGGCGAAGGGGCGAGTCGGCGACTTGTCAGGAAAGCTGTATTGCATTACATCCAAGGCCGATGAGCACGGCTGGACACCGCTGATCATGGCAGCCCACGCCGGCCACGGAGAGGCGAATGATGGCGAATGACTTTCTTCCTGCTTGGTGGGGAGTGGCCTGGAGCTGCTGAGCGGCTGGAAGAATTTGAGGTCTAGGAGTCTAGGCTCAGACAAGCATCAAACAGGTGCGACCCGTATCGGTTGGAGCCAGGGATTCTGTCAGACATGGCACCCACGAGCCCTAGATGCTCCGAATTTTGGAGGTCCTGCGGCTGCTACATCGTGGCAGCGCGAACCTTGAGACTGTCGGCTTCTCACAATGCTTCCAAATTATGCCACTGGTTTCTTGGATTGCCGGGCTCATGAATTGAATTTCGTTTTAGTCTTGCACGCGGCTACCTGCACTGCAGCTGAAGCTTCTTGTGCCAATTTAGGCGAAACCTCTGAGGATTTCTAGAGAAGCTTCACTGAATACCCCTTCGACTGCTTGCAGACTACTCCTCATCGCCGCACGCCTTTCTTTGTCGCCTGCCAAAGAGGGCCGCTCGCCATAACTCTGTTGTCACTCGTGTTGCGACAGTGTCCCCGTAGATCAAGCTAGAGCTGCTGAGCATCCAGCGGGCTTTATTTACAAAGTCGTTAAGCATCCAGACCAACAAAAGAGACTCTCATCGTCCTTTTTCTCCCCTTAAATTGAAAAGACCTCACACCAGCCCAGGCATGTGGAAGCTGCAAGAGTGCCTTGGCGAAGCACAGGACACAACTTGCATCAGAATGGGTTTGGTTCCCCACTCCAGGGGTGAAAACAGAGGATTCGACCTGCAAGCTGACAAAAAACCATCTGCCTTAGGTTCTTTGTGAGATCGGAGCAGACAAGGAGAGAGCCAGGACGAGATGGGGGGGGGGGGTGGGGCATTCTGTGTTCCCACATTGTAGGGGCAGCCTTCAGAGGGCACTTCTGCCAACACTGCCCTTTTCTCCATCATCACTCACCTTGTCTAAGTCCCTGATCGCAGGACGGGCGGCTACACTCCGCTTCTCATCTCCTGCCGGGAGGGCGCGCCATCCCGAAGCTGGCTTCTAGCAGAACTGAACGGAAGGGCCTCAAGGGCTTATGTAGGGGTTTTGCCCATGCTGGGATGGTGGGGATTCTGGATTCTGGATAAGGAAGACATGGAGCGCGGCACGTGATCTGACA